CGTGACATCAGAACCGGTACTCAAAGCTCCCTGATAACGGATCCTTCAGTGCGCGAGGCGGTCTCCAAGATCCTTAAACCGAGCCAAAAGCTCGCGGATTTCGTGGAATCTGAGTGCAAGAAGTCGTCTTGGAAAGGGATCATCACTAGGCTATGGCCTAACACAAAGTATGTGGATGTGATTGTGACTGGGACCATGTCTCAGTACATTCCAACTTTGGATTACTACAGCAATGGCTTGCCTCTTGTCTGCACAATGTATGCTTCTTCAGAGTGCTACTTCGGTGTGAACCTAAGGCCACTTTGTAAACCAAGCGAGGTCTCTTACACGCTCATACCAACAATGGCTTATTTCGAGTTCTTGCCTGTTCATAGAAACTCTGGTGTTACTAACTCCATCAACCTTCCTAAAGCACTCACTGAGAAAGAACAACAAGAGCTTGTTGATCTAGTTGATGTCAAGCTTGGCCAGGAGTATGAGCTTGTCGTCACTACTTACGCCGGTAAGAATAAAAAAAAGCCACAATATTTTACTGACTTGTAGTAAAAAGATTAATAATTTAAGGGTCTAATGTAATGTTTGTGATTTTGTTTGCAGGGCTTTGCAGATACAGAGTTGGTGATTTGTTGAGAGTGACTGGCTTCAAGAACAAGGCACCTCAATTCAGTTTCATATGTCGCAAGAATGTGGTCTTGAGCATAGATTCCGACAAGACTGACGAGGTAGAGCTTCAGAATGCGGTGAAGAACGCAGTGACACACCTCGTCCCATTCGATGCCTCACTCTCTGAGTACACGAGCTATGCGGACACAAGTTCTATCCCAGGCCATTATGTCCTGTTCTGGGAGCTGTGTTTGGATGGAAACACACCGATCCCTCCTTCGGTCTTTGAGGATTGCTGCTTAGCCGTAGAAGAGTCATTCAACACTGTTTACAGACAAGGAAGAGTTAGTGACAAGTCCATAGGCCCGCTTGAGATCAAGATCGTTGAGCCAGGGACATTCGATAAGCTCATGGATTATGCAATCAGCTTGGGGGCATCGATCAACCAGTATAAGACGCCAAGATGTGTGACGTTTGCTCCGATCATTGAGCTATTGAACTCAAGGGTTGTTGATAGTTACTTCAGCCCCAAGTGTCCTAAATGGGTCCCTGGTCACAAACAGTGGGGAAGTAACTAAAATGGAATAGGAACGTGAAGAGACTCTCTCTAAGTTACAAGGTCCTGGGACTTGCAAATGATGTCTTCTTTGTCTCTCTAATCTTAATTTTAGTTTAATTTTTTGTTTTGTTTATTTTATTGTTTTGTATCCTTTTAGTATGCATAGTCCCACTGGATTTGAAAACCAGTTGTACAAAGGCAAATCATGATTCTCTAAGAAAGTCTCTGTTTCTCTCCATTGCTTTTCTCGAGCCTCTAAACTTACTATTTTTAATGCCTAATTGTTTGGACCTTTCTCCTTTATAAGCAACGTGAAGATGATTTTGTTAAAAGAAGAACCAATTTCTTAAAACAACATTGTGACCACTACTTGTGTTGAGTTTGCTTAACAAAGCAAAAGCAAAATCATGGATAGAAATAATAAAATATATATAGCGGACAAGAAAATAACATCTTCATAGTTTGACCTGAGAAAACTGATTATTGGTCATTAAATGGCAATAGTTTACATTTTGTTGTCGCTAACCTAATGATACTACTAAAAATCATAAAATATGATTGATAGATCCCACATTTTATATTTTTCGTGTTTTTCCTTTTCTTTCTTCTCATGCCTTTACATAATATTTTAAGTGATTCTGTATAATTTTTTATTTTCTAGCTTCTTTTCAATTATATATTAGCGCTCATGAGCATGATCAGGATTCAGAATTAATAACGTACGTGATAGAATGAGGCATCCGCAGATATAATTTCCCATAACTTTGATATTTTAATATTATCATCTAGTAAAAATTGTTCCCTGTGTGAGTATCAAAGACAACATCACGGGCCTCGAACTATTGATGCGTAGACAGATGTTTATTTTTTTCCTTTTTGTTTTAGAAGAAATCAAACTATTCAAACTAACTTATTAGTCTAAGAGAATCATATTTAAATTAAAAATGAATAGTGGTTCCTTTCGAATAACGTAATAACGTATACTATTATTTGACAAGTTTTGTTTATTATGACCAATAAACTGACCTTTTTCCTCCTTGTTTTAGGTGTTTTAGTTTCCGACTTTTGGATTCACTAGTTCCAAAACAAGCTATAACTATTAAATCTTTTGGATTTTAGTTTGCTTAGATCTACTAATGGTTTTCTTTCTACCAAACAATTTGTTTTGCAAATATTATCAATTATATTTGTAAAATAAAAAATGGCTGCAAGCATATCGCTTGTTTGTTCAACTCGTCTAATTATACTGACAAAGATGCTCTTATATGTGGAAACACAACTTGTTATTATCAATAATCAAACATCTAATTCATACAAGTGAAGAATATAAGACAATGTTCTGAGATAGTGAGACTCTTTTAAGATCATTTCAAGAGAAAAAGCAGACATCTGACTTTTTACAGATAGAGACCCAAATCCCAATAATATTAAAACTATAACAAGTGCAGTGTATTGTAATATGTCATGTATTTGATATTTCTATCTATGTAGACAAATTTTCGAATTTACCACTAATGTTTGCAATAATGACAAACTCTACTTGAGTACTGCTGAGCCACTAACTATAAAGATAAGGGTGTCTTGTCTCATGTCACAACCCATTCTTCTGTGTGATAATTAGAAACTGTACTTTGTTAGTAATTTCCTTCTAGCTTCACTATCGAACATTTTCTCCTTCTAAGAGTAAATTATGAAGATGAGAGATAAACTTGTAAAAGACTTGCTTTAATAAGTAACATAATCTTTAATTATAAGTTTTTATTAGGATGAACGTATATCTACAAACTGAGTGTATAGCAGAATTACATACAAAAGACTTATCGTTGGAGAGAAAAATATTTAACAAACTTTTGAACCAGACGCTTGATATTAACCAAAACTTTTGAACCTAGGCATGAATACTTTTTCATATGTGAAAAAAAAAATTACTTGAGACAGGGAGAAAACAACAACTGACTGTTCAGGCGCGGAAAACCTAAAACAGAAACAGACAAAACTAACAAACACGCACAGAACCGACCGGTTCACTGCTACTGTCTGTCTGTGGGGAGATCTCAGTAATTAATAAATCAGGTGTACCGTTTTCTTCGTAACAACCCTCTCTGATGGCAACAAGTGTCCACAAGCTAGCGTTGACTGGGACCCGCCGTAAGCCGATGAACAGTTGAAATACACGGCTGTTCACGTGATACTGTGTGTGCTTTATTATTTTCCAAAAAAATCATGTATAATACGTTAAATTTAATACTCAACACTTTTTTTGTTCCAAAACAAATTATACGCAATACTACAATACTAGTAAATATTCTATGATTAGGATAATATAAAATTTTGAGATGGCGCAGACAACAAGTCGGTGTAGCCATGTAGGAATATACTGGGAGGTCACAATTGGACTTACATATTGCTCAGAGACACGGGCACATGCGAGCAATTAGTACGTTGACCTTTGACCGGGTCCTCTAACTACCCCGCACGTGTGGTAGACATAGCTTTGGTCTTCTTTCGGGCTTACATAGTGGGCCGTATAGACCAGAGATCTTGACCCATTTTCACTGTTGAAGTAAAATGACAGTGTCTGACAAGTTCTTCTTCAATTTCTATCTCTCCAACCTCGAATCATTTGTACGAGGCAAACAAGGATATACACGTTTGGATATATCTCTTCCCCTAAATTATTATTCTTTTGGATTTATCAAACAACCGAGTCAAGAAATTTCTTTGATAAAATCTCCCACATAAATACAACATAATGTAGTATAAATATGTTCGAGTCATATATATCCACAAGCTAATTATTTTTTTCGATCTCTTTGTAATCAAGTTTTTCAAGGTCAGTCCACATACTCGGAAAACACCAAATGGTCACACCACTATACCATTTATGGATTTTAACAAAGATAACCAAAAATTATACTACTTCCTCTGTTTCAAATTAGTTGTCGTTTTGAGAAAATGTATCTGCAATGCAAAACATGTTCAGATACGTCCAAATATTTGCAGATATATTTTGCCAAAACTACAACTAATTTGAAACGGAGGAAGTAGTATAATTTAGTTAATAGAATTGCATTGTTGGTTATCTTTAACCATATGTTTATGAGCACACTCTTTCGCTTAGTTAATGAAATTGCATTGAAAATCGAAAGTGATATATAAAAAAAAAAGTTTAGAATAAAATTTATTTGTGAATTGGAGGGAGTAATAATGAAGCAGTAAATATAAGTATTTTAGTGATTCTTGTTGCTATATTGGGACAACTAATGACATGATAGTGAGTATAATAGTATTAATATCTAAAAGAATAATAAAACTAAAATTAAACAAGTTCATCATGGGTTGTTAAATTTGAGACATTAGAATATACATGCACACACGCATAATGCGCTATGCAACGTTTTTATGTCTCAAGCACACTGTTTTCCAAAACAATCATCATATATATTTGTCCTAATTTTTCCGAACCAATTTGTTAGTCCACGACCAACCACATGAATTTTTAAAAAATATTTTTAATACGCCAACTTACATAAACTATGATGATTTAAAAAAAACAAAATTATGCTAACGAGTGGGATTGTAGTAACTAGTAATTACTATGCTTTTACAACACTGTTTAATTAACAAATCATTATTTTCTATCATATGACCCACATGAGTTTCTTGAATTAATGAATTCGATTGCTTTAGGATACTATCAATTCGACTTTTTGTTTTCTCCCAACAATTGACATTTTCATATGTCAATTTAGGAATCAAATGATTTAATTCTGTACATTTGTATCTTGTTAGTTGAAGTCGGAAACCATAATTTTATCATATGTATTGTATATGTACTATGTACTTGTCACTGTAATATTTATCTAAGGTTTTCTGTTTTCCACTAATTATGTACCCTTTTAAGTTTCAATGATTTTGTTTTATGTCTTGATTTATTAGACCCGTAACAGAGGAGATTCCAAAGCCGGAGGAGGAGGAGATACCGATGCCGGTGCCGGAGGATGAAGAGGTTCCGCCGGAGGATGGGGTTCTCGAGCATAGTAGGAGGATGAGGAGGTTCCCCTTCAATCACGAGGTGATGAACATGATAATCTGGATGTTAAGTAACTCCTTCACCCAAACTTTAATGGTTAACATTTTTTTTTTTCTGATCTAAGGGTCATTGTATTTTTTGTTTGTCAAAGAAAATACTGTTAACTTTGCATAGATAGTTGTTTATAAGTAAACCTATGTATGCCTTTTAAGTAACCAAACCTATATATGCGTTTAACTAATCTTGTGGGAAGATATAGGCATGGATGGTGCCATGGTGGTTTAAACAGCAACGCAAATATTTTATTTTCATGCTATAATGATATTGGCTATTTTTTCATCTAATGGGCCTTTAGAGAGAGATAGTATAGTTAATGCAATTATGCATTAAGTTTCTGAAACATTGTTTTTCATGATTTTACAGTAAAATTTATAGTTTTCTTTCATGAACTCATAAAACCTACTGAGATTTCTTGTATAATCTATAGTTTTCTTTCGTAGTTTCAAATTTAGTAATTCAATTTTAGATAATCGAAAAATAGTGGAGACCATAATTTCAATGTAAAATATTACAACATCTTTATCTCACGGTTTCTCGTTCAATATATAGAAAGAAGAAAACCAACCATCTTTCACATTTCATTTTTCTACCACATAAACTGTTACGCTTTCTATTCATACACACACACACACACAACCGAATCAGTTTTGTTTTATTGCTGTGAACTGAAGCTAACACATTCAGTTTTAGATACTTCGAAAACCAAAAAAAAGTCGCCAAATCGTCAAACTGTAGAAACTTACTAACAAGAAAGAATCAAGAAAAAGAATAGTAGTATTCATATTTTGATAGAGGTAGCTCTAAGGAGCAGCAACAGCAAGAGGTCCCTTGAGCTTCTTACTTATGGCGGCGATGTACTTCCCTTGGTGAAATGCTTGTTCCATCTCCAATTCCGTTGGCTGTCTCGACCCGTCTCCTGCGAATGTCCCCGCCCCGTAAGGGCTTCCACCTTTCACCTTCTCCATCTCAAACATGCCAGCACCAAACGTGTACCCGATCGGCACAAATATCATCCCGTGATGAACAAGCTGAGTAATGGCAGTTAATCTATATAACACACAAAACTCGTTTTTCTTTAGTCACAATGTAGCAAATGTTCTGTTTGACGAGTGTTGTTTTGGATTGGGAAAAGAAACTTACGCGGTGGTTTCTTGACCACCACCTTGAGACCCGGTGCTGTAGAAGATTCCAGCTGGCTTACCTGCGAGTTGCTGAGTCCTCCAGAGGCCGCCGGTTGCGTCCAAGAATGCCTTGAACTGAGCAGCCATCATACCGAACCTTGTGGGGAAGCCGAAGACGAACCCATCAGCCTCGGCGAGCTCGTTGGGGGTGATGATAGGAGCATCACTCTTCGGCGGTGCACTCATTTTAGAGAGCACATCTTCTTGGAGCGTCTCTGGCACCTGTCAAGAACAAATGATTTTTCACAAGATATATTCAAAGATAGCTTATGATCAGAAACAATGACAGCAGAAGATAGATGCAGAGTCAAAGAAAGTTTCTGTTTTGAAGAAATAAACTCAGTCATCGTTTAGAGCAGAGAAGAAAGTAGGATATGCCTAAAAGACAATGCAAGTTAAGAATTAATGCAGCTAAGCTCCTTGGTTCCTAAAACAGTTATAGCCAAGTGAGTAGTCATATAGAGTGTGAAATCACTCAAAGATATGAGACAGCTTTATCGTCAGTTCAAGCCCTTGAATTTGCAGGAAGCAGACTCACCTGCCAGAGTTTGGCTTCAACTCCTTCAACAGAAGCAGCACCTTTCCTTATCTCTTGTGCTAATTTCTCCACGTGTCCGTACATTGAGTAGTACCTATTTAGTTACATTGGCGAATCATCTCATTCCCAATGGCATAACTTTAAAAAATCCGAAACCCATCACAAATTAAGGCAATACATCACCAGATCATCGATGTTAATCTACACTACAGTCTACAGACCCAGGTTTCTAATTGCTACTTCACATTAATCAATGAAAGTTCTGAGGACACTACACTTTTAGATCAGCGAAAAATCAAATCGGTCGCTTGGGGAAAAAAAGCGAAAACTTTGATTGTCGGTGATCACATATATTCAAGCAATGTTCATACAGAGAAAAATGGGTTTTTACATACACGATATAGACTTTGGTCGCCATTGAACAAGTGCCTCGTTCCTTCTTTCCGAGAATCTCTGAATAGCTTTACTGATTTTCCGGAAACCGTATTATCTCTTTGGCGAATTTCAAGTCAAATCCTTCTAAATTGATTAATTTATGTTTAACCCCCTTTATTTTATTTTTGTTCCAATTAAACCACTTTAATTCTCATTTCTAGTTTAGATTGCTCCTCGCATATACTTCCTTGTCACGACATCATTGATACTGACTGATGGAGACATTGGTTGGTAATTACTAATTAGCAAAAAAAAGGTTTTGAACTGTGGAACAATTGGGGGTGATGATTTCGAGTTTGATTGGAATTTTGTGATTCGTATGATTATAAGAAGCTTGAGCTATACAGAACAAGACTAGAAGTGAGGATGTGATTTTTTTGTTTTTTTCAATTATACGTATAATTTAAAGAATAACAACATTAACAGAAATGTGAAAAAGTAACAAATGAATCAGTCGAACTAAAATCAAAGGAGGAAGGATCCATAACTCTCCGGTGTCAATGTCGTCGCGTGCAATCGCCGAACTCCTCCTCGATCACCTCAGTGACGAGACACCGCGACGCCTCCATCAAATCCGGACTAAGCCTAAACATCAACACGCAAAACTCCATCTGGTTCAACGCGCCGTCGCAATCGAAATCCCCTTCGTCGATCATACTCCTGACGTCATCGTCCGTCAGATCTCCGAGACCGAGGACCGCCGCAGCGTTCCGGCGAAGGCTCTCGAACGTGATCACACCTCTCTCTCGATCCATCAGCAGCTCGAATCCGTTGCAGAGCTCTCCGATCAGACCCTCGCCGCCTAGATTCCCCGCCATCGCTGGGAGGAAATCGTGGAATTGAGGTTCTGGGTTTTGTTGGGTTGGTCTAGTTGGTGACTTTGGAGACGCCATTAGAGCTGGTGATTAACTGTTTGATGAAATTCTGAAAATTTTATCGTTTAGAGGATTGAGAAAATAAAAGATTTTTTTGTTTGTTGTTGCTGTGTGATTGCTTTGAGGTTTGGTAATGTGGAAATAGAGAGGGAAGGAATGAATATAAAGGAAGAGAATTTGGGATTTCCGAGAAGGAACAGAGCCATGGAAGCCAACTAGATAGATTGGGTAAGGTCCGTGTCTGGGAAATTGCGAATAATCTCGAAATTGTTGTTGTGTGACTTCTTCTCGGAAGCTTGTTCAGGGGTCAAATTGTCAATTCAATAAAGCGTGTCTCTGTTTTCAAGTGTAGGATGGAGGGTAAAATCGTCCGCTGCTTTCTATTGAAAATTGAAATGGAACGTGTAAAGTAACGGATGATTTTTTTTTGTTTATTTATTTATGCAAGTTTCCGACACTTTCCTTTTGCGAGTGAGTTAAGTAAGATATTTGACTATGAAAAAAATATATGATAATTTTCTTTAAACATTTGGTCAGCTCTAGCAGAAACTACACTAACATTTCCTGTTTTACTATATATGAACGACGAATAAAGCAGTTTGTTGCCATTATTGTAAAATCTTATCGAAACAAATAACATGAGATGCAAGAGATGATGTTATTAACAAGAAACGTAAGATGAAAGGAACTTTCCTCGTTCAAATACTTTTCCATTTACATTTGTGTGAAACACCTAATTAATGAATGGGTAACACTCGGATTCTCGGAAGAGACTTCGAGATCAGGGAGATGTATGTGGTCCTCTTAATCAGCAATTTATAAATTTGGATGTGTTATGTTATATGTTTCTATGCATGGTATTCTCTTAAATCACAATTGTGTGTCCCTTATTCAGAGACATTGTCATGGAAAACTAAATGCAGCGGACAGAATATTCTAACGAGTGGTCTGCCCGTTCTCTATTGCATATCTCTGTTTTTGTTAACATCTAATTGAATAATCCAACAAAATCTTGCTAATCGGATAATCATCTTCATTATTTCATGATTATCCATATGTATACAACCGAATCTCGCAGTGCAATAATGCTTACACATTAAAAACTATTTAAACGGCCTATGTTCAAAGAACGAACATTGAATCATCCATGACTAATGATATATCTTAGGTCTTGCCTCGTTTATTGGCTTGTCTTCTTAAGGGTGGGAAACCATTATGGTCCTATTAAAACCTCCCAATTGTTTTTAATAAAAATTAAAAAGCAAGCCCCGCAAACTCCATAAAATTGCATTTATAAAACTAGCCCCCAAGACAAAAAAAGTTAAAACATGCTTCAATTTAATTACATGGCTACTAAATTTTAAAACCGTAGGTTTTTAAAAATGGTTTAAAAACACACTTTTTCAAAATAATTACCATTTTCGACATTTATACAGTATATATATTTTTGATAAAAAAATACTTGGGAAATGGACCGATCTAATGAGCACAGCAATAAACAGTTACATTAGAGCCCACAGGCTAAATCAGCAGAATTGATTGTTGCGGACTTGAACGAATCGGATTAGGTTGAGAAAGCCCATCACAATGCTTAATCCATAGAATTCTTATTCTGTCAAGTGTCAACCAAAAGAAGTTGACACTATGATAATGAGCCTAAGATTGCCGTCAAACAAACAAAAAACACTAAGCTGATGACTGTTTATTTGATATATAATATATCCAATGGTTTCTTCATTGATAATGAGTCTTCTAAAAGTTTCGTCATCTCTATTAAACTTTGTTAGATTATCCTCTTCTTTTCAGTCTTCGTCAAATATTACATACTTTAGTACAAGTAAAAAACAAAAATTGCATCTTCATTGAATCAGTCCATCCTTTGTATACAAAATAATCCTCGGGCACGTTGTGGTTGACATTACGAGCAAATAATAACACGACGCAAGATATTGCACAGCTACTCATTGCAATTCTCTTCCATGTCTTCCATCAACATATAATAAAATAAAATATATTCCAACGAACCTTACTTAAACTATATCCTCTCTCTGACTCCAATAGTTTAATAACTAGAAAACAGATTATCATCATTTGTTTATATAGCAACATCTATCCAACTCTCTCCGGTTTCACAGATCCCGCCATGGGAGCCAATAATGTGCTTCCTCTGGCTCTCATCTCTCTGTTTTTGACTTTTCTTGTCGCGCAAGCGACAGATATCATCGCAGCAAATCAGACTCTTAAAGACGGAGACACCATTGTTTCAGAAGGAGGGAGCTTCGAGCTCGGTTTCTTCTCTCCGGGAGGATCAAGAAACCGGTATCTCGGAATTTGGTACAAGAAAGTCTCTCTCCAGACGGTTGTATGGGTCGCAAACAGAGATTCTCCTCTCTACGATCTCTCAGGGACCTTAAAATTCTCTGGAAACGGGAGCTTATGCCTCTCCAGTGGAGGAAACTACATCATCTGGTCAACATCGTCTCCTCAGAAAACCAGAGTAAGAAACCTGATTGTTCAGATTCTTGATACAGGTAATTTAGTTGTGAGAAAGTCAAGGGATGATCAAGATTACATATGGCAGAGTTTTGATTACCCTGGAGATACGTTTCTTCCAGGAATGAAATACGGTATGAATTTTGTAACCGGTGTAAACCGGTTCTTGACATCTTGGAGATCTCAAGACGATCCATCAACTGGTAACTACACGAACAAAATGGATCCAAACGGTGTTCCTCAGTTTTTCTTGAAGAAAAACTCGGTTGATGTCTTCAGGGCTGGTCCATGGAACGGTCTAAGGTTCACCGGTATGCCTCACCTGAAACCTAACCCTATCTATCGATACGAGTATGTGTTGACAGAGGAAGAAGTCTACTACACTTACAAGCTTGAAAACCCTTCAGTGATCACAAGAATGCAGTTGAATCTCAACGGAGCTTTGCAACGTTACACTTGGGTTGATAGCCTTCAGAACTGGAACTTTTATCTATCGGCTCAAATGGACAGCTGTGATCTCTACACGTTGTGTGGCTCTTACGGAAGCTGCAACATCAACGAATCTCCGGCTTGTAGGTGCTTAAAAGGGTTTGTTCCTAAATCCCCAGAGGCTTATCTTGCAGGGGATTGGTCAGGAGGGTGTGTTAGAAGAGTGAAGCTGAGTTGTGGTAAAGGAGAAGAAGACTTTCTCAAGATTTCAAACTTGAAGCTACCAGATACAAGAGCATCTTGGTACGACAAGAACATTGATTTGAATGAATGCAAGAGGGAATGCTTTAGAAACTGTTCTTGCTCGGCTTATTCGCATTTCGATATTAGAGATGGAGGAAGAGGATGCATTCTATGGTTTGGAGACTTGACAGATATAAGAGAGTATAATGAAAATGGGCAAGATCTGTATGTGAGGCTTGCTTCTTCTGAGATAGGTACAATCAAGACTTGTGTAGCAAGATACATTGTTTCAATTAGATGCAACCTCTTGATCATTTTTCATTTTTGTTCTGTTTCTATCACAGAGAAATATAATATCACTGAAATGAAGGGAAAGATAAAGATGATGCTCGTTATAGTATTATCTGCAGCAATGTTTCTTATTTGCCTTTGCATGGTTTTGACTGTCTTCAACGTCAAGAGAAAGAAACTTGCAACAAAAGGTAAATGATTGTAGCTCTCAGAAACTGTGTGTTGATTTTCAGCTTTGCTTATAAGTTAACGAAACCTGCTGTTTTATTCAGAAACTTTGCAGCACGATTTAAACCGTGCTTCAAGCAGGAAACAAGAGGAGGAAGATCTTGAATTACCATTTCTTGATCTTGAAGCAATCGCAAAAGCTACAGATGGATTCTCTGATCGTAAGAAACTTGGACAGGGTGGTTTTGGACCGGTCTATAAGGTATAATCACAGCTTCTTCTCCAATTTCTCATATTCCGCAGATGACATGGTATTATTTTAACCAGGGGACACTGGTTTGTGGACAAGAAATCGCTGTGAAGAGACTCTCAAAAACGTCGAGACAAGGGGTAGAAGAATTCAAGAACGAGATCAAGCTGATTGCGAAACTGCAACACCGTAACCTTGTCAAGATTCTTGGCTATTGCGCGGAGGAAGATGAAAGAATGCTTATCTACGAGTATCAACCGAACAAAAGCTTGAACGCTTTCATTTTTGACAAAGAACGGCGCAGAGAACTTGATTGGCCTAAACGAGCGGAGATAATCAAAGGGATTGCTCGAGGACTGATGTATCTCCATCAAGATTCAAGGCTTCGAATCATCCACCGTGATCTCAAAGCAAGCAATGTTTTGCTTGGTTCCGATATGACACCGAAAATCTCTGATTTTGGATTGGCTAGAACCTTGGGAGGAGATGAAACTGAAGCAAACACAACCAGAGTTGTTGGAACATAGTAAGATTAGCTACCTTTCTTGACTATCACGCAAACGGTTCTAACAATTTGATTTTTATTAACAAGATTTGTTATATATCATTTTGCAGTGGATATATGTCTCCAGAGTATCAAATCGACGGATATTTCTCATTGAAATCTGATGTATTTAGCTTCGGAGTCTTGGTACTAGAGATAGTTTCAGGAAAAAGAAACCGCGGATTCTGCAATCAAGAACACAAGCTTAACCTTCTTGGACACGTAAGTACATAAGCATTAGGAGCAGCAACAGAATATTAACTCTATATCTTCTTCTTATCTAATTAGCTTAAAGTACACGTAACTTATTCTTCAGGCTTGGAGACAGTACAAAGAAGATAAGGCATGTGAGTTAATAGATGAAGCTTTCAAGGAGTCGTGTGCTGATATTTCTGAAGCCGTAAGAGCGATACACATCGGTCTGTTATGCGTACAACAAGATCCTAAAGACAGACCAAACATGTCAGTGGTGGTTCTGATGCTGAGTAGTGAAATGCTGCTTCCTGAACCTAAGGAGCCTGGCTTTTTCAACGAGCGTAATCTCTTGTTTTCTGACACTACATCGATTAATCTCGAGATTCCTTCTAATAACTTTCAAACCATGAGTGTAATAGACCCTCGGTAAACTTTGTAATCAATCTGTGTATATTCTTTAATCTGTAACATTACTTAATGTTTTGATTGTTTCTTCTTTGATGAACACATTACTAGGAATAGTTTATTTTTTTTGGTTTTTATTACCAGGAATGGCCTAAGTGTCCTAATCAATCGTCTTTTTTTCCTACTAGCATTCAAAAGTTTAATATTCTCTAGTATAATTCATTCATAAATTGTTTGTAAAAATTATTTCACTAGGAAGATGGAGGCAGAAAAACATTAATAGTTAGCAACAATAATAGTTGAAGCCATGTTCCAAAATTTTCCAATTGAGTTATGTTTCCGCTTTATTGTAACTTCCGACTAATTTTTCGAGTGGACAAAAAATTTTGGCAAGTAAAAAGTTTTCTAAAAACGTCTGGTGACAAGATGGACCAGACGTATTTGTACCAACAGAAATCAAGACCTAAATTCTGGCACATGGAAAACGTATTAGATATGAGATCGTGGTTGTCTCTAGTGAGAGAGCTCTCTAATGCTTACACTTCAACGTGGAGGATGTAAGAGATACCAAAAAACGTGAATGCAAAGAGGAAAAAGAGAGAAGAAACGTGGACAAAAGATGCCCATGTTAAGCCTTTAACTTTTGTGTTGTCTCTCAGTCTTTATCTCATAGTCGTGTTGTCTTAAGGGTTCTAAACGTATGGCTTTTCTATATGGAGCATTAGTGGATTTATTAAAGGATTCTATCGAACATCGATAGATAATATATTTATATGTTCATTTTCCCGCTGGAGCATTTTATTACATAAAATAGTTTATTTTCAATAATTCAAATGTAGATCAATCTTCGATAAAGCAAATATCATTATTTATTACCAAATCAAATCCAAAACAAATGATCAATCTTCAACTAAATATATACGCTAAACCAAATGAATAGACAATTAGATCCATCAACTCCTGTCAATCTAATAAAAAATGGTTATACAATTTTTTTCCAACCACACATTCAACTAAAAATCAACTCTTCAGGAGTAGCTGCCTATTCTCAAGTTCTCATCTTCTAAGAGATGTGGCCTGTATGTGGTGGGGTTCAGAGGATACGCATTGCTGATCTACCTTTTTATATAAAGAGTTTTTTACACTGATACAAAAGTAAAAAGTAAGCTGATTTTGTTATCTGTTAAAAACGCTCGACTACGGTTATTTTGTTCTGATTCCGGCTTGAATTAATAAAAATCAATGTATTTACAGAACCGGGAATGAAAGAGTCAATTAAAAAAAAAATATATATATATATATATATAGTTATTCTGATATATATATATATATGCTGAAGACATATATCCCTGATAATTAATTTATTGTGTTATAAAATTATGGGATACACATTCTGAAAATGAACCTGGCGCTTCTTCAAAGTTCTGAATCGTTCCAAAATTCTATCCACACAATCAAAAAAGAAAAGAAAAGAAGAAAAACTGACGGCCAAAAAAAAAGGGAAAAGAAAAGAAGCAAAACTACGGCTCACCACAAACTCTGTGCTTCTGTGGCTCTCATAATGACATCTCATCTTCTTTTGATTCTTCACACCACCCTTGTTTCGCCACGTAGGATTTCCCCATATCGAAGCATGCCACATAGCCACGACCTCTCTTCATATGATTTTACACCATGTGGTTATACTTATACTTTATTACAGAATTAACTTTTATTTTTTCTATAAGGTAAGGGTTCGCGAGAGCCACAAACAAGATAAGTTAAATAATCACATTAAAAAAAAAACATTAAATCATCATGGTCCAAGTGAATAGTACTCGCCTATGTACTATATCTATAAAAAACATATTTCTCCCATACCAATGCATTTTGTATATTTTTAAAAATTCATTGTTATCTTATCGTATATGGGACGACGATATCGCAAAAGCATAGAAACACAAATGTTTTTGGATCATTGAGAAGTATGGGAGAAGTAAAAAAACAAAACAAGTGGTTATAAAAGAAAGATAATTGATAGAGGGTGGGACCCCTCAGACTTGTAATATGGTCCAGACAAATCCCAGGTGGGCTCACGTGGCTCACGTTGAAGCCCATTGAGAACCTGATTCGTCCACGTAGGACGGAGCAGAATCTCCCTCTCCTTCTTTCCCGGCTGAGATCTCGCCACGTCATCGACTACAAAATCGCCCATAAAAATATCTCGAAACTCAACCATGAGTTTGTCGCCACGTAGAATGGGCGTATGGCCCTTACGCATTAACTGGGTTTCCATCTTTTTTGTTAAAGAAACTGGTTTTTCAAAAAGAAAAAATCCAATTTTTCTACCACATCATTTGATAAATTAACCCGAAGATTTTAATCCGCCACCAAGATAATTTCTGGGATTTGAAAAGAGTTGAAGCTGTGTATTTTGGTTATCTAAAACATTATTAAATGAAAACATTAGCTCCGTAATAAATCTTTAAACCATTTGAATATTTCATCACCATAAGTTATATGTAAACCATTATGATATAAAGATAAGTAAAATACATACTACTAAACATGGTTTAAAACACAAGTTAATCTCTAGTTATTCCATCTCTAGTTTTTTTTTTTTTTTCATAATACATTACAATAGTGTATAAAAACGAACGACCATTAATTATCAACACTAGTTGTTCAGAACTTCAGATAAGATTTTGGTTAGGGGAAAAAGTAAACTTGTACCACTGTGAAGATAGTCTTAAAAAAAAAAAAACAAGATTGCTGTCTTTCAATTCAACAACTTCCAAAAAAATTATGCATTTTTACAAAAAAAAAAACAACTTCCAAAATCTAAATATAATGTATCATTAATTCATTATCCTTATCCGGATTTTACTTTGAATAATGATATATACGTATTTGGTTTTATACGATTTGTTAGCAAAAGTAAAACTGTTACCAAAGTAACTAGTAAAAGTTACCAAATCAAAGCAATCATATAGATGTGGTAATTATCCAAAGAAAGATCTCAAATAAAGGTTGAAGTTGAACTAATCTCTAAATAGAAAGATTGAACCAATCTGTAATTAATCCAATACTTTAAGAAAGTAATCTATAGTTAATTGAAATGAAAATGATTCCTAACCACAAGAATTAAAAAAGGATGGGTGTATATAAAAAGCCATTGTGAAACCATAGAAGAGAAATAGATTTTTTGCTACTCACAGAAAAAGACTAAAAAAAGACGAAAGTAGCCCTCAAAGAATTGAATCACAGAAAACTCGCCACGCGAAGCCTCTCCCTGCAACTTGCACTTTCCTCTTCTGTTCCCACAAAGAAGAAACCAAAGGAGAGAGAGAAGCTAACACCGAACCCAGAATCTCGAGAAAGAGAGAGAGAATTTGATGGGGAAGAAGTGTGATTTATGCGACGGTGTTGCAAGAATGTATTGCGAGTCAGATCAGGCGAGTCTATGCTGGGATTGCGACGGCAAGGTTCACGGCGCTAATTTCCTCGTCGCTAAGCACACGCGATGTCTTCTCTGCAGCGCCTGCCAATCCCTTACGCCGTGGAAAGCCAGTGGGCTTCGAGTCGGCCCAACCTTCTCCGTCTGTGAGTCATGCGTCGCTCTTAAAAATGCAGCCGGTGGCGGCGGCGGCGGAGGTGTGAGCACTAACCGGATTTTATCGGAGGATCCTGGCCAGGAGATCAACGGTTTCGATCAGGAAGAGGATCAGCTCAGAGAGCACGACGGCGACAGTGCGGAATCTTACGATGACGATGAGGATGAAGATGAGGATGAGGAGTACAGTGATGAAGATGAGGATGAGGATGAGGTTGACGACGAGGAAGCGGATAATCAAGTTGTGCCGTGGTCTGCGGCGGCGCAACTGCCTCCGATGATGAGTGAATCATCTTCTAACGGCGGAGGCGGAGATCTGGTGGCCAAGAGGACCAGGGACTTCTCCGATGTACGGATCTATCCATTCTTCTTCAATTTTGTCAAAAATCTGAAACCATTTCGAATTCTCTACTTTTGGATTTGCCCAGAAAAGTTTTGGTTTTAATTGATTTTTGTTTTTGGAATTGCAGGAGGACGAGATCGGATGTTCTTCAGCTCAAGAGTCAAACTATTCTCGGCCGTTGAAGCGACCGTCAAGAGACGCACACGCGTTTGGATCACCGGCTGTGATTAATTCTATCGTCAGATTAGCAGAGGAGAGACCATTGAACGGCGTCGTCGATTCACCACCTCCTTCATCGTCGTCTTCTCGGTTCTTTGCGATCGCCAAAACGAGGATAGATCTCAACCGTTGATTACTCTTTCCATTTAGCAAATCACCACCGTCCATTTCTAACAATACTTGTTTTTGTGATGAGTTTTAGTAGTTTTCTTTGATCTTATGTCGTACAGAATCAATTTTAAAACATTTGTATCTTATTAATATCAATATGTTGATTTTTTTCTCTATCTGAGTAATTGATTTGGATTCGCATATAGTTGAAGTGCTTATTAGATTCGAAGATTTCAAACTTTTGACTGCAAGTTTATGGCTTTAGATTATATGCTACTATGGATGAAAGGAATTTGGGGAGATTGGTGACAGATGAACACATTAATATACATAGAATTAAATACATATGATTGTGGTTTTGGTTTGTGTAATTTCGACCGTGGATAAAATTGTGGGGACGACTGAAAAGAATTTTAGATTTTTATAAGTTTGATGGGTCCTGAAAGTTTCTTTCGTTCGCCAAGAACATTGAATCTGTCATATCTGTCGAGTCTGCAAACTGTAATAGATGGTCCATGAAAATAATGTCATCCCCATGTCTACCTTAAGCTTATCTCACACAAATTCTTGATTCACATGATCTCATCTGTGTATGCTATAGTATTTTAGATATTAATTTAATAAACTAGTCCTTTGTTTTGTGCCTTGGTTATATAATTCAGCTCCTTGTTAAAGAAAGGTTTTCACATTAAATAAGGAGTTTTAATTCTATGGTTAGTGAGAGTGGTGTGGGGGGTTGGACCGTTGGGTCTATCGAGTTATTTATTCATATGAACATGTGGTTCTCATTTAATCTCTTATCAAAATATTTCGATTAATTTCCTTCCCGAACGAAACTAAAGAATGACATTATCCTCAAATTTTAAATTGCATTTTAACTCGCAGGAAATATTAAAAATCCGTGTCATTTCATAATTTATATTTTAGTCTATGTCTATCCATGCGAAACTCGACATAAAAAAAATCCAGTTATAAATATCTGAAAGTATCCTTTTGTTGTGTTTCTTTGCTCTGTAATCGCTTCTTGTATTTGTTCTCAGATGAAAAAAAAAAAATATATATATATATATCTGAAAGTACAAATGGATTTGTTAGGAAATTCGGTGGCTTTCACAATCAAAGCATGACTATCGTCAAAGACTTCAAGCTTTGGTCCGTAGTTACAAAAGTCAAACAAACACCTAATGGATTGATTATAGGCCGGTCTTTATCCCATCCGTTGAGTTTGACAATTAGTTTAAACTACACACTAGTTAAAGCACAACCTAACATTCATTCAACCATAACTTACATTAACACGACATCATAAATTAAGAATAGAAGAAGGTCAAAACTTAAACAGAAGACGAAACTTGTTCAATAAATCAAACAAGACAGGCTACAGCCTACAGATGACAGAATTAGAAAAAGTTCGTAATTTTCCAGTTTTTAAATTGACAAATGAAGAAAAAAAATTCTTATGAAAATATATTTTACGGGTGAGAAAAACGAATCCCACACTAGTTTGTCAGGTTTTAAAGACAATGCCTTTGATGTCAGAAACAAAAAAAAGAAAAAAAAAGAAGAAGACAATGCTTAAAAGCAAATCAGCTTCGATCTTTTAGAGTCATAGTGTTTCATACCAACTCTTTAATAGTTTTAAAGCGAAAAATCATACATAGAGAATGATGAAAAAGGGACTTTGAACAATCCTGAGGAAATTCCAGAGACTTGAATCACTTGATGATGATGATGATGATAGCAAAAGATAGCACAAAACACACAAACACTCCTCTGCACAAATCCGCTTAAAACCCTCTGTTCCATCCATCTTGGCACCTACGAATTTCAAAAGAATAAGAAAAAAAGAAAGAAAAGAAATAGAGAGCACTCTTCAGATTGTTGTTTCAAAGTTGAAAAGGTAGGTTTATATTTACCTGGCTGTGAAGAGGGTGAATCCAATGAGATACTAGGGCTCATTACTCATCTGTATAAGGAAGAAGATCAATTGTCATTTTTCGCTTTTGATAACCAAATCATACACAGTGATGATATGTAACAGGTAACTTGTGACAGATGAAGTAGTTTCAGCTTAATGTCAAATCTGTAAGAGCTTAAACTAAATTCAATACAGTTCAAAAGAAGAATCTATTGAATCAATCAAGCAATGACCATTTACAATTTAATTTTTTAAACCCTAGGCCTTGACAATCTCATACCTATTTTGCATCACCCAAATGTGTTGTGACCAGTGAACTCTTAGTAAGAACAAGCAAAAGGCCAACCCGTATCTATGCAAAACAGAAGTGTATATGATTTCTACACTATTGATTTCCTGGACAAGTTTTCATCAAGACTTTGATTTCAGGCAACTAAAAGTTAAATAAATATTAATTAGCATTGAACATTAACAGATTGTATAACATTCCACTAGATATATCCTTCACTAGTTTGCGGAATGAGTAAAGCTGGGGAGCTCAGAAGATTCATTTCTTCACTTCGTGCATCAAGTCAAGAATTGTGATACATTGCTAACAAACAAGAGACCACCCAACCAAAACAAAAGAAAACACTATTGGTGGGCCAAAAGCAATTATCTTCAGGACTAAGAGGATCAAGAATATTCAAAAACCGAAACATAATCTGTATTAGCAAAGAATGGAAAACAGCAAAGAGAGCACCATAGAAAAAAAAGCAGTGTGGGAAAAATTATGAAGTGAGACAAATGTTGAAGCTCGTTTGCACCACTTGCAGTGGAATTCTACATAACTTCTAGATACTCATCAAAACGGCTTAGGAAAATATCACACACTCTACAAAGCAACAGAGAATAATTACCAAGCAGATGAAGAGACAATGGAATCGTGACAGAATAAAATATCATTTGCCACTTTTTTGAAACTAAAGCAGAAAGTTAGTTCTTTGCAGTTGGGAACTTTAACAACATTAATCAGAATTGAAACATCAAACTACACTCTAATTTCTGGAAATATGAACTATATAGAGAAGTAAAATCAGTGATCCTAACCTTTGATGTGATCATGATGATGATGAGAGGAAGCAGCAGCAATCTTAGCCTCATGTTCTTCATCATCCTCGTCATCGTCCCTCCCAGATTTCACCGTGACAATAGCTGCCCGAGTCCCTCCACCACCGTTTCCAGGCTCAGGACCGTCGCGATCATCAGGATATCTCACCACAACGACGGGACAAACACAGTGGTGAACACAGTAATCACTCACAGACCCCAGCTTTCCGTCACTTCCCCTCTTCTCAGCTCCGAATCCTCTGCTTCCCATGATCACGGCGCTGAGGCCGAGTCTCTCAGTCTCCAAGCAGAGCCTCTCCCTCATATCGTGATCCTTCACTATGTGGATCTTGTGAGGGAACCCAGCTTCCTTCAACGGCTTCGCGAGATCCGCTACCTTGGATGAGGTAAACGCGTCGAAATCCTCCTGGCTGGGCTGCGGCTGCTGACCTGGAGCGACGGGATCGGCGACGGAAGGAGGCTGAGTTAGAGGGAGAGGTCCCCAATCGGCGCCGAAGAGGACGGAGGTGGGGGAGACGTGGAGGATGACGACGGCGTCTCCGGGGCGGATGTAGTGATCGACGGCCCAGCGGACGGCGAAGGCGCTCTCTTCGGAGAGGTCAACGGCGACTCCGATCTTACGGCGAGCGCCGGCGGTTGGGGTTGGAGTAGCGCCGGAAGGAGTGGGGGAGGAGTGGTGGTGGGAGTGACGAGGAGATGAAGGGTGGTGGATCTTGATGTTTGGGAGATTGAAGTTCTCGTAATCTGAATTCATGATTCTTCTTCTTCTCTTGCTTCAACGAATTACAGAAACTCTCCGATCGAAATGAAGAAGAAGAAGAAGAGAGGCGTATTTGCCTATTTGTTTTTGTTTTTAAATAATCTAAATTAATTCAGTTTTTTTGTGTTATTTAATGCTGATTGTTGGATAATGGATAGATTTATCGAATTTTAAATTTTCTAAGAGGTTGAATAAAACGAGAACGTGCTGAGCAGCTGAGTGAGGAGGAGGAATCATTTATCTTATATCCGTTTCTTTTTTTTTCTAATGGGCCATGCTTTATTTTAAGAGCCCATATGTCACATTTTGGTGGAACTAGTCATACATTTGACTCTATCAATATGTCAAACTCAAACATAGATGATTACAGTTTGATGTGTTGACAACAACAAAAAAAGATTACTGTTTGAGTGTTGTGATGAGTAACGTTGTCGATTTTAATTTTCCATCTATCGATTGTTATATACGATCACAGCAACAGACTTTGACAGACAATTTGTTATATCACTCACGCGGTAAACAATTTTATTCCTTATACACGATGTTACGGTTAGTGGTTATTTCATCTTCATGATCTACAATAAATTTACTTTTTAAGAATCAAACCTCACACTTAATGAGTAAGAGTATATATACTACTAAGCCTTAATCGACAGTGACAGCCTAAATTTCTAGAAATTAGGTTATACATTTGATGTATATATATATATATATATATATATATATATATAAAAAGTTGTCTAACTTCTTTAGTTTTGTTTGCGTTACTCTAATTTTTGGTAAAAAACCATTCAGTTTACTAAGAAATCACTGAAATACAAAACTTTGAACTACTGTGGAATAAAAAAAATCGGTTTGTCTCGTATTGGTTTCTGAGAAAATATTTATGTCACATAAAATTAACAAGATTAATCAGATGACACTATTTCTTATAAACCGAGGATGCTTAATTAGGTGATAAAGATGAATCATGACAGGATCATGTCTAACTAAAGAAACACAAAATAGATCCAAGCCCCAAGATCTGACACAGCTTAAGAGAGAGAAAGAGAGGGAGAAGTTTCATGACACAATTAAGGAAGAGAACAGAACATATGTCCGAGTGTTTAGGTTAGAATCTCGTAATAAATCAACCAAAAGGGTAATCCAAAAGCTGAAACTTTCTTCCGATTCAGACTTCAGATGCATACACCAAAAAAGGTTTTTTCTCTTCTTCTGTTTAACACTTTCTTCTTCTTCTACTATTGATTATAAAAAAATAAAAAAGAAACACTAAAAAACGACGATTTGTTTTAAAATTTTATAGAAAGAGAAAGAGGCCAGCGAAAATTAAAACCACCAGAGATGTGTTTCAAAAATTTAAAGCTTCAAGGACAAATCAATGTTGGATGTATTAGGACTGCAATCACCTACTGATGTAGCCACTGAGATCGCTTTACCATAATTTCCAGAGAAATCGTCGTATTTTCCCGGAAAAAATTCGTACTCTTTCACACCTCCTGATCCTTCTCTAGGGTTTCCTTCCCCGTAGCTACCAAATCCCTAAATCCACCATTAAATAGATACACCATTAATAATTGTATCCATTAATATTTATATATAAAATAATGGTCGAGTGATTAGTACCGTACCGTATGATTTGTTGCGTCGTTAAAATACGGATTAGTGAAAGCAGGAGGTGGAGCTGATCTGGCGATCCTTTGATCATAAAAGAAGCCATGGCTCCTCTGATCTGGTTGGAGAAAACGATCGTAGCCGTTCGTCGGAGGAGGAATCACTGCGTATTTCGAAAAACCACCACCGTTGGATCGTACTACATTATGATCATCTCCATCCAAACGTTTCTTCTGCAATACAAATCAAAAACCCTTGAAAATCCCCAAAACCTCATTCTCTTATGTGAAAACACGATTAAATCATTTTTGAAAAAAAGCAAACCTTGAAGCAAGTTTCACAGCGGTGATTGGAGGCGTGATACGTTTGAGGATTTGGGATTGAAGAGAGCTCATGAGTGGTGGTCTCAGCAAAACCCCATGGACAACCAACCGGATCGATCATGATCTGACCCGACCCGACTCCGCCGCAGTAGAGCCTGCTCCGAGTACATCCTCCGACGAGAGGCGCGGTGGGCCCACCGTAGCTTGGAAAGCCTTGTAGCACAACAACCGGGTCGGGTGCGGGTGAGCGAGTGGCTTTAGTGTCCGGTGCTGCTGAAATGACGTCTCTTCCTCCTGCGACGACCATGTTCTTCTTCTCCTCTTCCTCTATGGCTCGCTCGAGCCGCGCAATACCCATCCCTCTCAGCTTCGGTTTCTTCTGGTTTTGCTGGCCTGTCTTCGATCCCGGTTTCCGACCACGACTCTTCTGCGGCGGCTCTGTCCGGATCTCGCCGGAGAAGTTGACGAGGTGGGTGTTTCTGAGAAGCTCGTTTGGGTTTCCGACGGAGGAGTTTTGATTTGTTGACATGAAGAAGAGAGAAGTAGTCGCCATTGATGATGATCGCTGAAGCTTCTTGTTAGAGAGAGAGAAAAAGAGAAATGAAGAGGAAAAGGCAAATGGCCTAATGTCTTGTTTCTGATCTCTTTTTATGTGTGTTGTGTTTTGTTCGTATATACTCAGGCAAAGTACTTACCTGTGTTTTTTTTTCTTTCTGTTATTTCCAGGTACTATATGAGGATAATCGTATCTTTTTTCTTCTTTTTCACTTTTTGGTTTTTAACTTTTTACCCCTCTACTACAAGTAGGTTAAAGGATAATGTCGAGAGACATTAAAATCTGTATTTGGTCATTCGATGTTCTGTAAGAATATTGAGTACTTCGTAACTGAAAATTATGATTTGATTGTTGGTATCCATGCATTGGATTGAGGAAGAAATTTAACAGCATCTTACTTATCTTGACTTTTTGGTTCTATCCATTTAATGGTGCATTCAACTTTTCATAATCATAATCCTCACTTGCTCCTTAATTAATTAACCTTCTTTTAGTGTTTGGAATTGTATCAAACTATAACTTGATACAGAATGTAACGTACATGTATATAGTTATCTATATAAAGTATGGTGACAGTGATAGCAAATGGTAACAATTTTGTCCGCTGCCTCTGGATTCGTGTATCTACACATTCCACCATTTTGCAACGGATTCGATTGTTAATCTGTGAAATAGATCGATATTTTAGTGATATGTTGTTTAAAAAAAACAAATGCTTTACCAACAGAAACAGATTTCAATTCCTTTATCTTTACACAATTTTTGGGCGAAGAACGAAAGCAAATTTAAAGTGTATAACCTCTATTATTTGTACCTATTTATTCCATATTTCTTTTTCATTTAATTAGGTATAAAAAATTTATGATAATCCCATAAGTCGTACCGTGGAGACAGCATATCGGAGATTGGTCCTAGCTAGGCTCAGTCGTGATGTGTGAACCACGCTCCAATAAGAACAGCGCGTGCATTACACGTAGAGAATATATGTAGTACATGGGGAGAAGAAGACAGGTGTTGGGACGTGAGAGTGAGACCATTCGCCGATTGTAGCGAGCAAGGTCTGAGACAAGGTGATTTTACTCAGCTCGTATCATCTAAAATAAGCAAGTCCAGTTACAGTCGTAGTTATATTTGTTCCCTTATTTTTTTTGAAAAATAACTTTAAGAAAATATTTCAATGATATTATATGATAACGAATAAACTAAGAGTAAGATTACAAGTTAATCTATGGTGAAATACAGAAAAACGAATTTTTTTAGTTTATCAAAAAGCACTAATTAATTGTGATAACATTTCTACGTTATAGAGACAACAAATACAAAAATGTGTATGAGTGTATCTATTCATCTGCGATTTATTTTAACCTTTTTTAGCTTTTAGATATTTGAATTCTTTTAACTTTTGTGATATTTATTGCTTCACATGAGACGAGGATCAAAGCAAAAGGAATTGCAAAAGACGTGAATTCCGAGAAGGGGTTGGGCTAAGGAGTAGAGTAGAAATGATGGCTGCATCATATAAGGAAACATTTTAAAGCTGCCTCCATGTTAATTTTTGCTTCAGCCCAACACCTACTATTAGAAAGTTTTAACTTATTTTAAACATTTTTTTAATTAGGTAGTATTATTTTCTATAGTTATCTTAAGAGAAGCCTTCTGAACGTATTGAGAATCTTTATTGATTTGTATTTATAACTTTTTCAAAATCGAATGCGATTGCTGTGGGTCTATAGCTTTTATTTAATATATAACCACTGTGTAGTGTACAATTTGAAGTTCAGAAGACAAATTAGTACTGTAAGTTTCAAGTGTATAATTTATGTATAAAGAAGAGTGTATAAATAAAAACGATCGAAATAGTTACCTTTACAAATAATTTATTCAAAATATCGCATTTTCCCCCAAAAGATTACCCTTCAAAAGCATTTCTCCTAAAATGTTGAAAAAGAAAACTACCCCACTTTTTTATTTTTATGAGTGCATGTAAACATTTTTCACTCTGTATGATTTTCTTACAATTAGTCTAATTAGATATCACTGAAGAGCCATATCTGGATTATATCACTTGAAAAAAAGTCCAAATCGCATGACCAACCCAACATATCTACATTGGTGCTAGAAGCCTAGAACGGGAGGCGAGATGATAAACAACAAAATATTTTTAAAGAAATCAATAAATACATATAAGTTATACATATACAGTAGATGATAAACAGCAAATGTGCCATATTTTGCATCAACGGCTGATCTTGCGAGTTGGAAAAAGTGTTGACTAATGGGTTTTATAAGAAAATGGTATGATCAATTTTCACGAAGATGAAAAACAATAGGCCTTAAAATGTAGTGTAGTAACCTTCTGTTAGATAAATATGTATCTCTAAAGTCTAAAACAAATTTGATTTAATACTATTACTAAAGTAATTTCTTTAAAATAAAATAAAATAAGAGATAATTACTCAGAAAAAATATGTATCCGGAATAAATATGGATGATTTTACAATAGATATCGCGTAGATTGTATTGTGGGCTAGGACAAGGGACTGTTGTAGGGCAAAGGACGAACGGGGACCCCACATGTGCTTTCATGTTAAGTTAGATGTGGTCCAGTTGCCACATGTAAGCAGGGGGACCACTTTAGGGTCATTGGGCGGCTACCACTAGGGTTTTTACGGCACGTGTGAGAGGGTTAAAGCGTGTGAAGGTTTGATTCATATTGCTGGGTTTAGGCAGGCATAGAAAGATTTTTGGGATCCGTGAAGCATATTGTGTCCTTTCTAGAATGATTGGATCCTTTCTTCTTCTTCTTCTTTACCATTTGATCTTTTTTTTCATCTATCAAGATCATAGAACCTAGAAAACAGACTATTACTAAATGTTTTTTTTTATTGATTACAGAGATGTATGTAAAAGTTGATTTGTAGTTTTAATTACAAGTATGGTAACTTCCAACAAATAAATTATTTGTTATAGTTACGAACTTACAAGTTAAACCAATCCATTTATTTGTTTGTTTTTTTTAGATGTGTAATTGTATCATATCTTTACGTACAATGATAATGTGTATATATATTGTGGAGTAAATGTAGACAAGAGAGTACTAAAGGAGCAGAGTAGGTGAATAAATGAGTGAGTTTTTGGGCAGTGAGAATTACAAGAAAATAAAAACAAAATAAAAACAAGAAGAAAAGGATAGAAAAGAGAGCAACTGTTAGTTTTGGCTTTATACATCATCTTCCTTATCTATCTATTTTCATACAAACTTGCAAACTCTTCCTTAAACCTCCTTTTGGACCACATCCCTCTCTCTCATCTTCTCTTATTTTTTTCTATCTTCTTTTTTACGAATTTAATTTCCAGATTTTCTATTATCATTACTTTAGATCTCAATCTCCAACTGAGATTCTCTCCCTCCCTCCCTCACTAGTACAGTTGTAGGCCTCCATTCAACTAAATTACATTTTCGCCCTTGTTTCTAGATTCTTCAATGTATCAATCACACTCACCACATCTAAAAATCAAAAACCACTAATCCGGACATGAAAAATATGCTAAAAATTGGTCAATTTGGTATATAGAAAAAAACAACACCAAACCTAAGTGTTTAGTTTGTATTAACAACCATTAAACAGACTTGATTAAGCTTACAAGTGCAAAGTTATGGGCAACAAGACAACAGAGACCAAGGAAAAACAAAGTACAAGGGGGTTATAATTATGTTAGAGGGAACAAAAAAGCAAAGATTTGGAACGGAGGGACAGGATCAGAAACAATGTTGAAATCTGAACCGTTGAATAGGCAGAGACAAATCTGAGCACCAGATATTCTGTGTCCAAGAGTAGAAAGCTTTTAAATACGGTTTTGTGACTCTGTGTGTTGTGTGAGAGGTTCTCAAATATTAAATTATGTAACAAATGCTGTTGTCCCTTTCACTTGTTAGTTCTTGTCTTGTTCTTCAACAAAGACACTGCAAGTATTACTTGCTGCAGTACAACAATATAAAAAATATATATCGTATTTGCAAATGAGTCCCTATACTATTCTGCAATTAACATGAATTGTCTATGTTTTTTCTTGAGAAGGCAACGCTCTTTGGAAGTATGAAAGAAGCACAAAGCATCCATTTTCCGGGAGCCACGAGGCGTACCTTCCTCATCTTCACGTCCACCGCAACCTCCGATAGAGCAATCCGTATCCTCTGCAAATTCACAAACCATGCACATTGTGCGGATTAAGCATTAGTTTGGTTCCAGATGTGGTTAGATGGGAGAGAGTTTCATAGGTTTAGACCTCGTGGAAGTCGAATTCCGGATCAGCAGCTTTGGAGAAACCGTAGACATGTATGGTTGGGAATGATAAGCCTTGATCTCTCTGCCTTCCGTTGTATACTCCTTGAAAGGCATCTGCTTGAGTAAGGATTAATGGTGGTTAAGAGAGGACTGTGAGCAAGAAAAAAGCAAGCTTTAAGTAGGAGTGTGTTCAAACCTAGAGACTCAGCGGCATCTTTTGGTAGATTCATGACTACTTGAGTGATTTTTCGACCTTTTTCGCTTGAAAACATAGACGTTATGAATCTTCGTCCGTCCATGTTGAATATCTACATAGAGGTAGAAGATTCAGAATTGTGTATACAAATGGTTTGAAGTATACAAGAAAGTGTTTGTGTTTGGAAATTTGTACTTACTTCGATTCTCTTCTCGAGCTTATTGACAATCCTATTCTGGTCCATGAATTCTACTGCATGAGGATTTAGGTCATTGGCGTATACACGTTTTACAACTCTTGCTGCAGCAAGTGCGATTGGACCTACTCCAGCGAAGACATCACCTGTACGTAATAGCAGAGTAATTTGAAACCAAACACAACACCATATAGAGAAAATCTAACAGAAAGAAGAACTTCAAACTAGCAACAACAATAAGACAGTTGATACATTAAGCTACATATGTTTCTTATGCAACAGAAAGCAGCAAGATTCAAGACCAACAATAAGGATCTTGCCAGAAATTGGAGGAACAATGCACCACCAAGCACTTTGCTAAATCATAAACTGAGAGTTCTATAGAGAGCATAGCAATTTTTCATGGTGTACCCCAAAGTTAGAACTAAGTAGCAAACATACAGACAACATCATTGTGGTCGAACCCAAGCAGAAGCCTCTGTCTCTCTGTTCCAAGTTTTGAATTCCAGTATCTTGCACACAGAAAAAAAGTACAAAAACATGTCAAAATTATGAACAATACAACGTCAAATCACATGATAAGAGATACAATAGAGTTAGAAACACATATTTTCCAGTTATCACTCGAAATATGATCATATGTTGGTGTCAGACATTTTTACGCAGGAGCTGAGAAAGAAGATACATACACTCTAGCTAAATCAACATGAAAGCGCAGTCCATTTTCAACAACCAGAGTCACCAGAGAATGGTTTCCGGCTAAAACCTCTAGCTGCATCGTTCTGAAGTCATTGTGGATAGCATCAATCTTATTCACAACGGTTTGTATCTTTGGCTGATTCTTGTCCAAAACCACCTGACAAGAAACAAAACAGCTCACAAGATATAAATTCCTGAAGCTGTGGTTATTTTGTTTCAAACTTAAGCAATGTCCACTAATCAATCACCTTAGCAATGAGCCTCTTGTATGGTAAATGCTCGTCTCTTAGATTCAAATGCGCAATATGCCCCACCGTCTCAAACGCTGAAGGCACAATCATACCCTTTGGTAACAAAGCTTCCAATACCTACAACCAACACTTACTTTGAAGCAAACCAACTCCATCTTCCTTTAAAACTTTAAAGTCTCATCATTTACCTCATTCATTTGCCAATAGTCATAGAACAAAGTCAGTCTGCATTTCACTAGCTCGAAACTTAAGCTTGCATCAGTCTTTTTAGCTTCCTTGAACAGAACCTACCAAACAGAAACCATATCATTCTCAAATATTTCCTACTCAACACAACATAAACAACTTATACGATTGGATTTGAACAAGATGTATCACCTTGATAGCCTCAGGCAAGTCTTGAACTTCCTCACCGGAATATTTCTCATCCAAAAGCAACAGTCTTGTTGAACCTCTCCATCTTCCTCTACTACCATAGCCTTCTCCTAACAACCCCTCAAAATCCTCCGTTTCTCCTTGACCTTCAACTACTTCCACCACAGCGAATTCGTTCCGTCTGCTTCCTTTTACCTTTTCATTTCCCTTATCCTTCCCCTCCGTTTTCTCAGTCTTCCGCTTCCTCTTTGGCCGAGAAATTTTAGCCAAGTTTCTGAATTTGAGATACCCAGTCGAATTAAACGTCCTGGCGAGCTGATCTCTGTGCAACACTGAGCTCAATCTCTCCCCGTCCCCTTCTGCTTTTCCTCGTATTCTCCTATCAACCGAATCCACAACACTATCTTCTTCTTCGTCGTCTTCTTCAGTCTCACGGCCCAGAAGCTTCAACACGTCTTCTTCGATTTCATCTCCAGGAACCCTAGCAATGTTCCGGATCCTAGGCCAATTAAGGAGATGACCGCGGAGACGATTCTCGAGCGAGAAACAATCCTTCGCCGGGACACGAACCGCCGAAATCTCGATTATCCGAGTGAAATCGCTTTCGTTCAGAAGAGCACTTTCCTCGATTGATTCTTCCGAATCTCCAATTTTGCCTCGACGGGCATCTCTGTCTCGACCGATTGAAACGAATTGAAGTTCGTCTGGAAATGGCTTTTTCCCTTTCCGAAGAGACGGGCCGTACGGAACGGTGTTGGAGGTGAGATTACTGGAGAAGATTTTGGGAGTTGGATAGGGTTTATGGATGAAACGAGCCGTGTAGGAAGTGAAGACCGGGAAGGGAAGATAATTGGCTCGGAAAAAAGACAGCTTTGACACCATTTTTTTTCTGGTTTATCTTGATTCGATTAGCTTCCTCTGCTCGTTATGGCTTCTGAGCTTGGGACAGTGAAGGTCATTTCCCGCGTTTGTGCATCAAAGATTTGACATTTGAAGGAGAAAGATATTTATCGGTTAAGAATGAGCTGAAGATATCAGAGAGTTCTATTGATGTGTTACAGTGAAGAGAACGTCGCCGTTTAGAGAAACTACGTCGTTTTAGAGGAAACGTCAAATGAAAGTTCAATCACACCTACAATACAAGAGACACCAAGAACATCATCCGCTTGATTGCCAGTTGTTATCTGTAGACACCAAGAACATCATCCGCTTGATTGCCAGTTGTTATCTGTTACTTAGTAACTCTCATCGAATGTTTCATACCACATCAATACTTTCGTTTAAACGGGATGAGAAAAATGATTAGTTGTAGAAAAACCTCAAGCTTAAAGCATCCAAATAAATAAAGCATAAGAAGGGTTATATCAGAATGATATAGACAAACAAATTAGACCTAAAACCAATAATGAGTCTCACATATTACTGTACAAACGGGTAGTTCCACTGCGAAGAATGGATTCACAGGCAAAATATGGAGGACACCAACAAAAAAAATTCGTGAAACGAAACAATAAAAAACTTATATCATTCCTTAGGGATTAGCGCAAATCTCATCAGGCAACTTCAGCTTAAAACTCTGCGCACCGAAAATCTGAAGAGACGAGTTCTGAAGAAAGACGGCGACTCCACACTTGTTGCAGTTGAATCCATCCCAGAGCGTGAAATGAGCAGTCCCCGAGACTGTCTTCTTCGCCGCCACGTCTTTCACAGTGCACATCTTCTCCATCTTTCTCACGACGTAGTCGTTCGACAGCATTCTTCCTTCGTTCTCTCCTCTTTCACAGTCGTTCACTAGCCCCGTCTCGTATATCGCCACCATTACGTCTATCCCGTTCCCGTCTACTTTCATCCTCAGAGCTCCCGTCAGTGATACTTGCAGTGTCTCTGAGGTCGGTCTCTGGAATGTCGCCTGGCAAAGACAGAGAAATATAAATGACAAACTGTAATCACACAAATCACATGTTCTTGAATCCAGATTTCTCATATATCAAGATCCCAAAACTTGGCTATCACCAAAATCAGATACAAGAACGTGCTGTTGAATCTTTAGGCAATGACATACTTCAGAGAAAACTTTATAATATATGGTATGGTGTTGAGAATCAATCCTAGAAACTGTGTTCTAAGCAAGATTTTGTGTCAAGTGTATGGATCAATTGCATTGAAATCACATAAAGAAGAATTCTAATCCATCACAAACCTAATTCCTCTTCATCACAATCAGTCAATCACCAGATTGCTCACCAATCCAAGAGTTATTGCAAATCAAAATTGACATTAAAATTCACATCCTAAATACTCACCCGGAAGGCTGGAGAAGGAAACTTTGGTGCTTCCGAGATCGATTTGAGCAGAGTCTCTTCCTCGTTTCCGATCAATTGAGAGCGGCCTTGGATCACGAGCTGCGGAGTGAACATCGTGTCAAGATTCAACGCCTCCACGTACGCCTTCTGCCTCACCGTCCACTGGCTCGATCCGTACGGATCCTTCCAGCCCTTGTAGTCCCAGTAATCGACGTGGAAGACCAGAACCATCGCCGGAGATCCAGATCTACCGTCTCCGCCGGCGTCGCCGCGGATCTGGGCGTCGAAATCGCCTCGTCCGAGACGGGACATCAGCATCTCCGCCGCCGGCGACGTCTTGCATCCCTGCGACGAGAACAGCTGGACGAGAACGGGTCCGTCGCCGGCTGTGATTTCTGCGTCGACGACGGCGGAATTGTTCCCGGGGACGGATCTACTCGCGGAGGATGAAGATTTCTTACCGCCGAAACAGGCGAAAAGACGGCGCGCCATTGGAGAAATTGCGCGTCTCTTCGCCTCTCGAAGAAATCGGATGTAGGAGAAGGATAAGCGGAGAAGACGAATCAGAGAATCAAAGAAGTTTTCGCCGAGAAATTGTGAAATCGTCAGCAAAAAAGATTGAGAGAGAATATTACACGTCGAGAGGCAAAGAGAGAAAGGCGGCAAAGTGTCTTTACTCTTTTATATATACTGGTGGATTAGGACGGTATGAAAGAATAAAAAAAGAAGAAGTATATTTCTTTTTCTTATTTTCATGTTTTCCTAAATTGTACAAAATTTCAACAAATCGTATTATACTGTAAATGTTAATTTTCTTTCAATATGAAAATTTTCCAATTGTGATATGTCAAATGTGTTGATACTCTGTTATTCACGAAGACTCAAGACAAAACATCTTCCAAATTTACTTCATTTGATCTATTGTTATTATCTCATCATCTTCGTTATCTTTTGTTGTTTATTAAACTATGTATTGCTTATGTATCTCTACATTTGATATCAATAAAGTCAGATGTTACAAAAAAAAAAAAATTGGTATGTGTACATTCATGTTAAACTTAAACGTATTTAATTTTATATTATAAAGTATTTTATTAATTTTATTAAATTGGTGACCAAAGCTGTACTTTTCTAACTAATTATAAAAGTTTGGTAAATAAATAATTTTTTTTTCCGGGATTTATCCCTTTTTCAGATTTTGGTATGAAGGAATGGTCGGGGACACGTCAAAAAAGACAGGAGTAATAGGTGTTCGAAGTTGGCCAACTATTTCTGTTCTTTTGTAAAGAGAAAAACAATTTCTTTTGATACTTAATTAAAAGATTCACTTGCCGTTGCCGACCTGAATAAAAAGAAGACACCACCGGAATTAATCGAGGAAACAGATTAGATAATACTTTTTGTTAAAGGGTTTTCTAGGGAAACAAATGAGAATGGAGAAATTTCCCGAGAAAACCATACAATTGATGGAAAAAATAATAATATTAACGCTCAGTTGAAGAAATTATTGTATTGGGAAAAGATTAGAGTAGATTTTAAGAGATCATATACATACAATTGATGATCAATTAGCTTTAAATAAAGGAGAACCACATATGTTTTCATGTCCCTTCTTCTTCTCCCGTCACTCATCTTGCTCTTGTAATCTTGCTTTGCTTGTGTCTTTCTTTACAACACGTCGCACAACATCCCAAATCTTGCTTTGCTCTTGTAATCTTGCTTTGCTTGTGTTTTTCTTCAAAATAATGACACGCAAACCACCAGATCAAAAAACAATGATTGTGATTCAACATCCAAAGAAAACGATGATACACTTGACGATGATTATATAAATGATGTATCTTGTGTATAGATTCCTAATTGCAATACATTTTATGAATTGGTTCTGACCACACATGAAACGGTCCATGCAAATCCATGTGGCTTATGAATCCACGACCAGCCAAAAAAAAAATTCATGCAAGTTCCAACAGAATCTCCACCACTATCTAGGAGCTTCACTCAGCCACAAACCAACCACTTTTCCATTTATATATACTGACACACATATAATACATAGCATAACTCTCTTGGTTCTCTTATAGATTGCTCGAGTTTTATAACAATCATTTTCTATAAAAAAAAATTAAAAATAAAGAAAGGATGTTAGAAGGGAAAGCAGTAATGGGTGAGACAGATATGAAGCAAACAATGAAGGAAGATGCTCTCAGTTTGGCCGCCAAAGCCCTTGACTGCTTTGACGTCACCGAACCTACCCTAATCGCCCGATTCATCAAGAAGGTTCTTAAATAAAACAATTTTGTGTTATAACTAAGTATCTACTAAGTTCACCCTCGCGTTAATGAATGTATAGTGTACATATACATTAAGGAAACGAAATATGAATTTGAATGTTACAAGAAACTCCAAAAACTAAATTGCCATGTCAATGACAGTCAAATGTTTATTTATTTACTTTTTTTAGAAAGAATGACAATCAAATGTTAATTATACATTTTGAAAAGTTTCAGGAATTTGATAGAAATTACGGATCGGGTTGGCAGTGCGTTGCCGGGACGCATTTCGGATCCTTTGTGACTCATTGCAGTGGCTGCTTCATCCATTTCTCCGTTGGTAACCTCACCATTTTGCTTTTCAAGGGATCAGCCGGTGAACCGGAGGTCCGTACTGACGGTCTAGCCAATTTAGACATTATTGTAAAATAATCAAGTATTTATTTGGATTTATGTTGTGTTAAATAAAAAAGTATTCTAATTGTTGTTTTCCACTGCGATTCCAATTATCATGAACATTTTAAAAGGAAGAAAACCATACTCTTTCATATGTACGTGATATTAGTTTGGGTCTTATACAAAACCACCGTTCTAAACCGGTTTGTTCTGCTTTTTCCCTCAACCAAGATTTGATTACTTGCTTGCAATGAAATTTTATGTAGAAGAGCTAACGGAAAGAACAAAAGAGCAACTGCGCAAAATATAAAACAAAGCTAACCAAAGATGCATTTCAATAAGTTCAATTAAGAATTTTTATTGTATAAAGACGGCTAAAACAATGGCCAACAAAAAAAGTTTTAGAAAGACAGAATTACTTGACTAAAAAAAAAAAGATAAGAGTTTAATCTTAAGGTGTCGGATAACAGCGTCTTGCTTCATAATTTGCTCTCAGATCAACAAGCAGCTTAAACAATAGATGTAATAAAGATCCTCCACCTGCAAGTTATTGATGAAAAAACACAAAGTAAGTTTTGAGGAAATATATCAGAATTAATCATAAAAACTAGCTCATACTCATAATAGAAGCCTACCTGCAAGAAACCATCCCATGCATCATTCAAACGGTGACAGTGCGACAAAGCTCAATAGAAGCCTGCCACTCTGGGACTGTAAGCACAACCGCGACTGATTCAACCTTTCCTGAGATTTCACCTCCCTGACCTCGTTCCAGAGAGATCTCTACGCACCAAATATATTTTTTCCCTCCAAACCCTTGAGACTGATGACTCCTATCGTTGCCCAAAATGACTAAATTTCCACCAAGATTCCCCATTTTAGACTCATGGAGAAAAATATTATATGGAAAACCTTGTAAACCAGTCCAGGGTCTCCACTCCTTCTCCTTCGGGTCATAGACGATGATTGGCTCCGGAGCCATATTCTCAAAAACCCGTTGAGGGTTAAAGGAAAACAGCATATCATCGATCATGCAAGAAGACATGTGCCACCGTAAGCACAACTCTCCTGCCAAGATCCTCCTCAATTTACCTTCTTTAGGTTCGTAAGCAAATAATTTTTTTTTACCCAAAATAAAAACCTGTTCCTCCATGACCGCATATGTATAGAACAAATTATTACGTGGTTGTGACCACTTGGTTCTAACCCAAACCTGTTCCCTAACATCGAACGTCTCGATATAATGGCCTGAACGTGTCTGGCAACCTCCAATCACGTATATCTTTCCGTCTATTAATCCGGCGGCTGCGCGGCTGCGATTCAGTTTCATACTCGGGAGGGAGCGATGCGTGTGGAGTCTGCAATCGATGACAATCACTTCCTTTGTGCCTTTTGTTGGAACCTCTTTTTGGCCCACGCATCCACCGAACACGTACATCTCGTATCCGACTGAGACGACAGCAGCTCCCCAAGGCATGGGAGGAAGTGTACCGATTTTCCCTAATCGCAATGAAAACGTGTTTGGCACGTTTCTAGAGGGCTTCCGATGGAGAATGTACCAGCTCAAGCGTTCGTAACCAGTGAATCCGAGGTAAACGTAGAGAACGCTTTCCGTCTGGCCGAGGCGAGAGCGCGTGTTGTAGAGTGTCGGAGAATTGATGAGACGACGGAAGGTGTCGGAGACGAGAGATAGCTCCGGGTAATGACATCTCTCAACGAGTGCGAAGCATTTTTCGGTGACTTCGTCTGGAATGGGGAAAGAGTACCTCTCATCTGGCTCTCTCAGTTTCTTCTTGGCGTCTTGTGGCTTCTTGTTTGGATTTGAGTGGTCGCCATTGGAGTCCTCGGGGATTTCAGAGATTACAGCCATCGTTGTGTGAAGTGAGTCAGCAGCGAGTGAATGGAAAGCGAGCGCCTAATTCAAATTTTGAAGGAAAAAAAAAGTTAGTTGTGTATTTACAAGAGAAATATGCACTTGATGATTATTTTCGAGAACATAAAACATACTACAATATCGTGTTTACAAAATATTATTAAGTTGGCGACCAAAAAAAAAATATATATCTATACTATCAGTGGAAAAATCATTTTAAGAAAAGGATGCCATTAAAGAACCAATAAACAAAATAATTTAAAATTAATTGAAACAAATAATAAATATTCAAATTGATTTTCATAAGCCCTTCACAATATATTTGTAATAGATATTTAAATCATTTCTCTAACTTTCAAACATATTTTCTATTTGTTATATGAATATTTTATATATACACTATATGAAAATATACGAAAGCGGATTCGTATCCGCTTCGCTTATTTTAATCTTTAAATTTAATTATTCAGATCAGATCCAACACCTCAAATATCATATTTTTCTAGATCGCAATGAATTGAATTTTGGATCTGATCAGAAATCACATATTTTTTGTCCACGCATTTAACTAACATATATCCGATTATCAGAAATTAACTGTAATTTGATCATTTGTACTAATGTTTTTATTAATTATATGAAATTAAGAAGAAGAAGTTAATCGGTTACCTCGAATATTATCATGCATCAACAGAAACGGTACAAGAAAGTTGATGTTTATTCTTTGTTATTTGAGTGTAAACGAAATCGATCTGAAATTTCAACTCTGAATTTCAAAAGTGAAAAGACGAACGAGAGTTGTGTATATTTTTTTCTTTTTATGAACAGTTTTCTAGTCAACGCAAATATATATGTTTTTGGTGATTTATTTATTTGTACATACTTATTAATTTCGTGTTTCCTTAGATTTTGTTTTTGAAAAAGTATAATATTAGAAGAGAAAAATGGAATGTGCTTTAATCATATATATCTATAATTATATAACAATATATAAGCGATTAAATATTTTAATCTATTTTCTTGACTTTCTATATTGTTTTAAAACTAATTATCCAATCACTTATGGCTTACTCCATTAACTTATTTTAATCTATTTAGTCGTTTTGACAAAATTTATCTGCAATTATTTGGATGTGTTTTGAGTTTAATATATCCAAATAATTACAGATACATTTTGTCAAAACAACAACTAATTTGAAATAGAGGGAGTATAATAACGTAATAAACCAAAAAAGTAATGTAATTATTGGAAATAATATTCTTCAACGAAAATGAATAATGCACTGAGTAATATATCGAATTATTGACTAATCACTCATTATATGAAAAACATTAACTAACCGTATTTTGATATCATCATATAGTTACATTTATTATAGCAACGTCATAAAGTTTAAGAAAACAGTCCTGCTCACTACGACGAATGTTATAAGTTATAACAGTACCAGAGACACTCATCATGGCATGGAGAGATAGTTGATCGTGGCCGTTAGGAGTGTAATTAGAACGTGAAAAGAAAATGAGATTTTTTTGTTATATTTAAAAGTTAAAGGGGTGAAAAATATAAGAAACCAAAAATAAAGAAACAAAAAGATAAAAAAAAGATTAGCATAGACCGCCGTGCGAACACCCCGGCAAGGACTAGGCCGAACCGAGTAACGATCCTCTACAGCACTGGAAACATCCGAAGATGATCGCACGGTCATAGTTCATCAACCAGGTTTAGGGGCCAGTCTCCTTAGAAATCAAGGATACTGAGGTACGAGCCTGTAGAACAGATCCTGTTCAAGTAAGGTCGTGACTCGTGACCTACAATATCTTTGTAGCTCCTCGTGCAATGCAGTGTTTTCATCTTCCTTCTGCATCATAGCGGCTTCCACTTTCTCAACCCGGCTCTGCAGAGCAGCAAGATCAGCCCAAGGTTGGACCTGACACTGCTCTACAAGAAATTCCTGAACAAGAAAAGGTAATTAAATAAGTCTCATCAGCCATCAGGAGTTGATAATTTAAAGAGTTAGAGACACATACATCAGGCAAACAAAACACTACCTTGTCTTCTGAGACTCTCCTCCTTGACTTTCTTCTCGGTTTTTTCTTCACACTGTGTGATTGTTTCTTCTGTTGCATACTGCTTTTTAAGTGCTTACGAGCAAGCCATTTGCGTACCACTACACAAAAAGGTGAAAAGCTTTAAAAAATCTTATCCAAAATGGTTAAAACAAGTTCTTGATGCCATAAGGAAGACAACCATGTTTACCAGATTGCAAGTGTATGACTGCATCAAGCTCTCTAGTTAACTCTGAGGAAACAATAGCCGATTTTTCCACCACATTGTAGTTTCTCCTCGCATTTTCACCGCGGATATCTGCAGCAACGTGATACGTTATTAGCCATGAAACCAAACAAAGATGAATAGGAATATACTGTAATCATGAGACATATGTCAGTGATTACATGACTGAAGTATCACTGCTGCATTCTTCATACTGTGGAAGTAGTCACGGGACTGAGAACCACGGAATTGCTTCTGCAATCCAATTATGCCACGCAGAACAAATTTTCTTTTCTCCTCAAGGACGCCAATCTATTTAAATTCAAAAATGAAGAAGAAGTTATGACTCTAGATAGATCAGGAAGCCAATATGATATCTTCAGGTGAATAGAACTTACTTGTCCAGTACGGAGGTATGTTTTCGTATAACCAATTTGGTACATTTCAAGAGGAATGTTGTACTTCTTCATAATAGCATTTGATAAGCTAAGTGGATCCTGGGAGAGTCTTGTGTCCAGAAGTAGGAATCCATATCTAATCCATGAATACAAGCCAACAAAGACAAAAGCTTAAGAACAATAGATTTATCAAGAAAGTGCAGCGTTAAAGTTGAGAGAGACCAGACCTTAGTGAAAGCTCTTGATGTGTCAAGCGAGTAGGATATCCTGATCTTGATATTCTAACAATCTCCAAAACGCCACAACATCTAAGCTGTTGTAGCACTTGATTCTCTTCGTAAAGTCCAGGAAGCTGATTTGAGTTTGGCTTTATGCATCGGATAAAGTGAGGAGTTGTGTCTTCTAACTTGTTCATCAACTTGAAAAGTTGGCCCTGTAAGCATAGAAATACGGATGGTCCCATTCAGGCACAAAAAGATCTTGACCAAAATAGACTGAAGAATTCAAGCCTATGTCACCTTAAACTTTGTAATCACACTTTGATTCATGGAGTCCGATAAGGTCGCAGGGTTTCGAGACTTGTGACACATCTTAGTAGAGAACAAGTTCAGTAACTGACATTTACATGATGACAAAAGCTGGATAAGATCAACATGCAGAGGATCTCTGTTCTTTTCCAGGAAGCCATTTGTATCATAGAGAACCTATTAAACACACCATATTGTAAACAACTCTCAATTAGTACACACGATGAGAAATTTCTTTGTTGCACCTCTATAATATATCAACTAACCTCTCCAGCATAATGGCTAACTCTGAAGTCTCGACCTCTCTCTCCCTTAAAACAAGAGTTAGCCTTCAAATGGTGCTTGAGCTTGTTGGCAAATGTCGTATCAGTTGCCTTTGGAAAATTTGATTCCTCGTCTAGTAGCGATACCAAACCGATGGGTTTCTACACAAGCAACCATAGTACTATAGCTTAAAGCACAACATCATACCATTTTTTCATAGGAGAAAAAACAAGATGAGTAACGTTTTTAAAGATGACACATTATAGATTACCTTTTCAATCAGATCTAGACACTCTTGATTGTCTTTGAATTCGACCTTAGTCCAATCAATTCCATCCCCTTCATATTCCTGTAACAGCAAAGAAAAATACTTTCATAAATAAACAATAAACATTTAATACAAATCAAAGAAACACATCATATAGTAAAGCTTAAGAGAAAGAAGAAGAACACCTCTTGTTCAATTTTAAATAGATGTCTGTTGAAATGTTGCTGCAGTCTTTCATTTGCATAGTTAATGCAAAACTGTTCGAAGCTATTATTCTGAAAACAAATGAGACCTAAATCATCACACAGTCAAAAAAGAAATAAAGACTAAAAAAACTTCTCTAGAGTGATTACAAACCTTAAATGACTCAAACCCATATATATCAAGGATACTAATAGATCTTCCTGTACGTGATTTACCAACTTCCAGTGAAGTGTTTATTTGCTCAACAAGCCAATTGAAAACGCTCGCGTAGATGATTTTTGCTAGAGAATCCCTCATATCCATTGCCTGTATATACGTCAAACATTCCACATTTTAGGTGTATAGAAATTACAGCTGTTGTGTTATATACTGTGACTAAACAAACCTGTCGCAGTGTCAGTCTTTTAACAATGCAATCTATACCAGCTTGGAGCTTGCAGGTAGACAAAACCACCATAAGCTCTTCTGAGTTGCAGCCCATTAACATAGCTACATTAGCGACAGCTTCAGAGACAAGAGAGAAAAATAAACATGTCACATGTCACAACCAGTCCACTAGTTCAACATTATGATAGATCATCACAGATAAGAGATTCTACCTTCATCTGCTACCACATCCACATGGTTTTCATTGTCAATCACTTCAAAAGATACATTCCCTAACCATAACACAGCTGCAAGCAGTGCAAATACACGTTCTTGATAATCTTGAGGTATTTGAACAATGTTGAAAGCGTCCTATAATAACAGAGAAATATCTGACAAAATAAGAAATTGCAATAAAATAATCTGGCATTTTACTTGAAGGAAAACAGAGCGAGGCAAGTTACCATCAGTTTGTGAAATTTCTGAGCATCATCAACGCGATCAATGGTTAAGCAACAGCTCTGATTCAAGTAATTGTATTCACTTGCCGCTTTAAGCTTCAATCTCTCTGAAGAAGTAAGTTAATCAGTATTGTGTATATGTATATACGTTTTGCTTCAGCAAGGATATTTCTTAGATATTTCGGTTTGGAATGTTACCTTTAAGATCTGGTGAAGCTCCTGCACACAATTCATAAAAGATATGGTAGGATCTCTCGCCATTCGACAGCTGAACAACTCTTGACTGAACCAAAGAGACTACTAATTAGCCCATGACATAACTAACAAGTGGAATCTGACTTTTAGCTTCTCAAGAGAAACAAATATTACCTTTTCTAGAAGAACTATGGCCATTCAGCACAAGTATCAACAAAGACAGGAAGAGGAAACAAAAGTAAAAATGTGAGCTCCATAGTCAAGCAAATATGACAAACAAGGATACAAATGTGCAAATCCTTACTCACAAGTTTCAAGTCTGGCTCCACATATCTTTCCGTTTGCACTAAAATGAATCTCCATTAGCTTTCCCTGCAACAATTCAGATTTTACTATTCAATCCAAACCACTTCAAGAATTACAGAATGTCTTGCACTCTTGGCTGACACCAACTTTCAAATATAAAGAAATGATTTATAGTTTCGGACACTCACGAATCGGCTAGAGTTAGCATTTCTTGATGTTTTAGCATTCCCAAAAGCTTCAAGAATACAGTTAGTCTTTAGGATCTCATTATCCACACCAAAGCTACCTCCACCAAGAGCTTCCAAGTACTGCATTGCATATTTTGCTGTCTCAGTTTTCCCAGCTCCACTTTCTCCACTATTCAGTAAATTGTTCATATTAATATCAGAAATCACCTTGACATGTGCATAGACTAAAAAAAAGCATTCAGAATATAAAACCTTGGTACCTTATGATAATAGATTGGTTTTTCTCCTCTGCATAAAGAAAAAAAAAAATAATAACTGTTTTAACACTCACAGAGAACCAAAAAAGTGTGAAAGAATATGTATCAAGCGTACCTCTCATCATCTCATCAAAAGCTGCATCTGCCACAGCATAAACATGAGGAGCATCCAAAGCCTTCTTCTGATAGGCTGATAGAAATGTTTCTCCATAAATCTTAACGTTCTTAAACGGATTCACTGCAATCAAAACTGGCCCTGCTTTACTCTATCATAAAGAAACATAAAACCATGTTAAAAAAAACTCATCTAGGAAAAAATCAAACAAACCATAACATTTTTTCTAGTAAAACACTTACATAGATCAAGTCTTGTGAATATCTGACCCGGAGGTTATGAAGAACAGATGGTTCATTCAAGTAACTAAGCTGTATAAGATCTTCAACTCCCTCCAAAATATCTGGATTTGAAGGGAAAATCTCTTCCATTGATACTTCCACAACCTTATACATAACACAAAATTACAATTCCTCATACATTCAAGCCGGTAAATTCCTTATCAGACGGTATTGAAACAATTTAAAAGACTTACTTCATCGGTATTGGACAACATAACACAAGCAACATCACCAGAAGTAGACTGTATGTTCCCCAAATGCCATTGCTCATTCGCAACCCGACACCAAACAGTAAGTTTCTGAAATAGAATTAAAACACTAAATGATCAAAAACTGTATCTTTCATTCACGTCATCAGAGAAACTAAAAAAGACTAACACTTTGATAAAAAAAAAAAAAAAAAAAAAAAAAAAATGCAATCACTTTGTTACCTTGTTGATGAAATACTCAACGTTATTGACCCATTCAGGGTCATACGCATTTGATTCCTTCTTTAGACTCAATGGATCATTACTAATCTTCACACTCTCAGTTCCGGCTGTTTCCTTTCTCCAAGCTTTCTCTCTGGTCTCGCTCTCCGGCGAAATTGCATTACGGAAGTTCGCCGGAAGCGATTGACGAGTCGACGGGATTTGCGCTCTGAAAGTAGGCCGAGGGGGAAGCGACGGTAACTTATCGTTGAACCTCTCGCTCGTGTCATGCCGGTTATGAGACTCCGACGTCTCCTCCGGTGAATTTTTCATTAATGTGCTGTTCGGAGACGGCGATGACATCATTGGCTTTTTTATTTGAGAAATTTCAAAAAATTAAAATTAAAAATCGAAAGAGTCTCTTAATCAACAAGCATTTTCGCGCCATCCCAGCTCCATAATTTCTCAAATCTGAAAACCAGAAATTTAAATCGAAAGAGTCTGAATTTCTTCGAGAAATTTTAAGGTTTCTCGAAGAAATTCAGAAAGGGAAAAAAAAATAGCCAAACGCGAAAACTGAAAAACAAAACAACAGCAACAAACCTTACGTATAAAAATAAAAAACTGAATGTTGCCAACGAGAAAAATTATAGAGAGCCATTCACAACGAATTTGAAAAACAGAGAACACAAAAAAAAAACCAACGAGACTTTCATGTTAGAACAAAAATGGGTAGGAGAAGCAGATTGTTTGGGCTTCTAACAAAAACTAAAGGCCCAATTAATGGACCCGAATTAGTAAATTGACCCGACGACACTGGAGCATATTAGGTGAAATCTAAATTCAATTTCGTCCCGTCTCTCTCTACTACTCTCTTGCTTTCGCCGGCTGCCCTAAACCGCCGTATCAGCCATGACGAAGAGCAGGAACAAGAAGAAGAACAGAGACGACGCCGATTCCATGGACGTTTCCCAACCTAAGAGCGTCTCCGAAGCTCCCACCGAAGGTAAAAATCGCGTCTTGCTTTGTTATGCTCTGCTCCATACTCGTTTCTTCGTCTTCTTAAGATTCAGGTGTTTGAAGTTTTCCATTTTTCCTTCTTTGATTTCGTTAGCCATGGACACTACTGAGACCGGAGACCCTAAACCAGCTCCTCGTGCTCGTATTCTGTAAGCGTTAACATCTGTTCAAAAATTCCGTATCTTCTCCAGAATTACTGCATTGTAACCGGCTTTAGCAATTCGATTTGTGGTTTGGCTAGTTATGGAACTTATGGTGCTCACTTGGAATACTTGTGAACTAGTTAGATTTATACATATTCAAATTTTAGGTTGTGATTCAAAAGTTTCCATTGTGAATTGCTCTGTTCTGGTCCTTTGAGATTGGACCTGGAGTCATTAATTTATGTAATTTGCCAAAGTTTTGCTTGTATAATATAGGCCATTTTGTTCAGAGATAGAGCTACAGTTTTGGCTTGTGTTTGGTGTTATATTTGGACCTCCTCACTAAGATTATTTTTAATTTCGGATGATTTTAACTGTTTTTTCAATAGGACAAGGAAAGGAAAACCGATGAAGAGAATCAAGAACAAAAGGAAGATGAAAGCCGTGGCTAAAGCTCTAGACTTGAATGACAAGATCGCTGAGAGAGCTTCAAAGAACAAAGTCAAAACTCAGAGAACTCTTGATGCCAAGAAACTGTACGATTGAAGCTACAAAAAAAGGAAAAAGATAGAACAGTTTTGATTGTTCGTTTATCTGTGTTTTTGGTCTTGTTAACGTTTTATGTATTTCTTAGAAGAAAAAAAGAGTTTCTGCACGTTTGTACTTCTACTTCAGTTGGCGACTTATAGAAAAAATTATAATGTTTATGGATTTGTCATATGGTAAGATCATAAAACAAGCGTACACGGTAGACTACTTACTTTAAACATCAGATGATCATTCAAGTAACATACATCATAAATTTTGATAACAATACCCAGTGACAAATATATATACATTTAGATGTGTATATCTATATTACTTCTACGTCCAACAACCACCTCTCTGCACAAGTTTGTTGACTACAAAATCTCCTTCGCTCCGGTCTACTGAAAAACATGCGCTATAACTTCCCGGTTGGCATTTTCAGTCTACATCTGTTACTTCTGCTTCTATGTCTACCACTGCTGATGAGGAACTCTTTCCTGGACAATCAAACACTCAGTCTCACACCGTTTGATTCACAAACAGAGTCGATTTTCGCATAAGTAAAACAGATATTTGGGTAAGTAAGGAAGAACCTTTCTTAGGTGTAGAAGAAAACCCATTTGAGTTTTGTCCGAAAGAAGTAGTTTGGTTTGAGAATGTCACTGATTCCTTGACAAACTTATCATCCACCACTGCATTTTCCAAGTAAAATACACAATGCTAATGCTTAGAGAAACAAGAAATGGGTTTGGATTAATCAAATAGTGGAGGGAGGATTCATCTTTTTACCTGAGAATGGCTGGGTGCAGAAAGGGCAAAGCTGTACTTCATCATCCAACGTTGACCTGCAGCGATTACGATATTTAGCCAAGCAGATTTGTTGCAACAACAAAAACAACTGAGAGGGATTGGTTCTTGTTATATCCTTACTTGAATATCTGAAACTCGTTTCCACAATTCGGACACTGCACAAGCGTAAAGAGAGATGGAAAAAAAAAAATCACAAGGTTGCTAAGTACTAGTAACAGAATCTTGAAGGATTTACTCAAACACACACACACACACACACACAAGTGTTAGTATGTTGTTCATGATCACCCAGAGTTATGATGAAGATTCAGTCTTTCTGCAGATTCAGGAAATGCTTTCTTAAGCCAAAGAGACAAGACAAGAAGGCTTACACTGCTCACGACAATATCGCGTTGTGCCCACCAAAATAATGCTCCCAACCCCAAAATTGGAACAATCACCACAATCAGCTGCAGATATGTAAGAATATCATCAGTTAACCACAAGGACAATTAGATAACCAGAGAGATTGATAGAGCAGAGAGAGTAATTACCCAGACAGAGACAATAGCATCCAAAATCCAACCAAGCTGACCAGTCATAGTGAGATAAGTCAAACCAATAGCCAGAGCAAGATTTCCGATGATTCTCCCATTTCCGTTGTTATCTCCGCCATTAAACTTCAAACCGCTAACCTTAACCACTCGTCTTTTCCGGTCAAGAGCTTTCTCAGTCGACAGAATTCCAATTTCTCCCAGACCCATGAATCGCCGTCTCTCTCGCTGACTCTGTCTATGCTCAATCAAGCAAGCTCTCAATCTCAGCTTGTTTTGGAGCACAGAAGGACCTAAGCTCCGTCCTATTGCGTGTAATCTATTTCTGGGTTCTTTGTTGAAACCATGGTGTATGGAGAAGCTAGGAAGGATAATCTGTGTAATCGAAGCCATCGTCTGAATTTGTTTACCGAACACAGAAGCTCAAAATTCATCAGCAAATGATGGATGATTCAACAACATTTGGATATGATTTAGACAATCTAATACACGACAAGAACAAGTGTCTTGTCATCGTGCGGGGATAGCTCAGTTGGGAGAGCGTCAGACTGAAGATCTGAAGGTCGCGTGTTCGATCCACGCTCACCGCATTTTTTAATTTTATTTACTATTGAAACGCGTCGTTTTGATATTGTAGAGAAAATAAGGTTTTGACTTTTGAGAGATACGCGCAACAAAATTTAAAGGAAAAACAAATACTATACGAAGTTTGTGATCTCCGATTTAAGGGACTAGATAAAAGTACAACTTACATTATAGTTTGATCAAACGTTGATGCTATTGAGTGAGAAATCCGATTATATTCTCATACATGTATTAAGATTAAGTGCAATAATACATTGCACATGTTCACTTTTGCTTTGAGAACGCATCAATTTATTAAAGTTGCATATACTTCTAATTTATAATGTGTTTCTAGTGGGTTCTGACTAATCTACAAATAACATTGCCCATTTTATCATTTGTATTTGTAGATTAGTAAGAAGGCGAGAAATCTATAAACACATTGCTATTGTTGTTTCAAGATTTCCAAAAGTCAAACTAATTACATTAACTCTCTATTTTAAATTAAATAGTCAACCAGAAACAGCTGGGTTCAGGACTTAGGACCGAGAAGTGTGGATCATGCACTTGTGAATGTTACTTTTAAAGACGTTTTTTGTTTATCTTGGAAGTTTCAGGTTTTTTGTTCATATACATATCAATTTAATATTATAAAACTTGGCTCCAAGAACGTTAAGTGCATGTGTGGGGGTGATGTCCAAAATTGCAAAGTGGCTTCTATAAATTCTCAGTCAACACTTCTCTCCTTGCATCGATCCACAATAAACATTAAACAGTAGAAATGGAGATCTCAAAAACCTCATCGCTTGTGATGATGATACTTCTTGTGATGATTATGTTATGTTGCTTGCGAGCCAAGTCACAGGGAGTTTACTGCAGCAACCCTTACGAACGATGCTTCCAGCAGTACATAAAGTGTCCGGAAGAATGTCCCACTACCAGTGCCGCAAACTCCATGAATAGAGTCTGTTACGTAGATTGTAGTAAACCTCTCTGCAAATCCGAGTGTCGCAGTAAGCAAAAATGTTTGCAACATTTTTTTCTTGAGGTTTATATATCTAAATCTCAAATTTAACTATTACTTTCTTTTTTTAAACGTGGTTCAGTTAGGGCTAGGTCCAAACTGCTATAGACCTGGTTCGGCTTGTCACGACCCGAGGTTTATAGGTGGTGATGGGATTGTGTTCTACTTCCACGGAAAGAGCAACGAACATTTTAGTCTAGTCTCGGACCCTGACTTTCAGATCAATGCTAAGTTCACTGGTCACAGACCCATTGGTCGTTCTAGAGACTTCACTTGGATCCAAGCTCTAGGCTTCCTCTTCAACTCTCATAAGTTTTCCCTTGAGGCAACCAAAGTAGCCACTTGGGACCAAGGAATCGACCATCTCAAATTCTCTTTTGACGGGCAAGATTTAGTTATCCCTGAGGAAATTCTCTCAACATGGTAAAAATTATCCAAATATAAAGAAATTTAGATGGTAAAATATTTTTTGATTTTGGAGAATGTGAATCTTGAGAGCTACACTAAGCACATGTGCTTTTGAGCAGGTACTCCCCCGAAAGGGACATCAAGATTGAGAGAGCTACAAAAATGAACAGCGTGACGGTGACGATTAAAGACAAAACAGAGATCATGGTCAATGTGGTTCCTGTGACTAAAGAAGACGATAGGATCCACAGCTACAAAGTACCTAAGGATGACTGTTTTGCGCATCTCGAGGTTCAGTTTAGGTTTTTCAACCTATCACCAAAAGTCAATGGAATCTTGGGACGCACGTATAGACTCGATTTCCAAAACCCGGCTAAGCCAGGAGTCGCAATGCCAGTGGTTGGTGGTGAGGATTACTTTAGGACATCATCCCTACTCTCTCATGACTGCAAGACTTGCATTTTCACCGGATCAAGTGGCTCGATCAAATCAGAGACCGAACATGCACTGTTGGATTGCTCTCGTGGGGCATCTTCCGGATACGGAATCATTTGCAGGAAGTGATGTTTGCCGGATACAAATGAAAGCAACGATCTTAGCTTTTTGTAAAAGTATAAGTCGTTACTACTTACTAGCAAATTAATTCTTAAGCAAACGAATGCTACTCAATTTGACATTTTGAACTGGAATATCTCGAGTAACCATTTATTTATTTTCCGGTGAGAGAAAGAATTCAAAGAACGTGCATCGACGTCGTATTGTGAAAGATTACATTCGGCCCGTCAAATTGGATCAACTAACCAAAAGCCTTTCCCTTTCTGGAATCCTAAAGCCTCACCGAACCGGTAAAAAAAGCCTATCATTTACCCTCTCAGGGATTTTTACCATTTTAAACCATCTGAGTCAACCATTACTTAAGCTGCAGTAAATAATTAATTACGTAAATCAATCTCTCTCATTGCCTAAACTCGAACGTTTGACCCGAAAGACCGAACCCACGATTCAACCCGCTCGAGCTATACCCGTAACTCTGAGTCAACCCGCCCGAGTTCTGCTGCTGATCCACCTGTAAGTTCCTCAACCCACTCTCCGCCTCCCCCTCCGCCGCTCTAAAGCCATCGTAACCGCCGTAGTTTGCTAATCCACTGGTCGGAGCTAGCTCCGGGATGGGATTAAGACCTGCTAAGCTAGCCCAATCGAAGTTCCCATTGAGAAGCGTCCTCAGCGAATTCATCCGCGGAAGATTAAACGACCGATCGTCCATCTCCGGGAACGAATCGAGAACGTCGTCAAGCTGAGACGAAGACGACGACGACGACCCGTTCGCGCTGTGCTCTTCACGACAAGCTTGAACCGGAGTAACAGATTGTCTCTGAGCTCCCGACGTTTTCTTGTATATTCGGCATAAAACCCAATCATCCAACTGAAGAAGAAAACAAATTAAGAAATTTAGTGATTTGATTTCAAATTTTTATCCAATCGAAACGAGAAAAAAAAAAAAAATTCAAATAATTTTGTTTACCTTTGAGCTTCCATGGCTACGAGAATGCTCGATCAAGCGATACTCGTGCATGATCCAGTTGGTTTTCGTGCCTTTGGGAGCTTTTCCGGCGTAGAAAACCAGAGCTTTTTTAATCCCGACACGACGACCATCCGCCGTGATTATCTTGTCTGTACCCGTCGCTTTCCAATAACCCGACCCGGCTACTCTATTGGGTCTTGACCCGTTTGGATATTTACGATCTCTCGGGCTGAAAAAATACCATTCCTTTTCCCCAAACAAGGCCTTATCTGCACACACACAAAACCACACAACCCAAAAAGATAAGCAACTTTACGAATAATATTCGCCCTTTAGATTTAACATTTTCTCAAATTAAACCCAAAGTATTGATTGTAACAAGTAACACCCTCGAACTTGTTTGAGAAAGAGTTTGCTTACTTGGCAAATCCCAAGGGTCAAACTTGTAGAGATCGATATCTCCGATGACCTGAAGAGAGAAATGATGGCCTGCAACTTTCCGACAGAGATACTGAACAAGAAGCTCTTCATCTGTCGGGTAAAATCGAAAACCCGGAGGCAAACTCAGTTGGGCTAACGGATCCTTCTCTCTAACACCCATTTCCTCTCTTAACGGATTCTATCAATCTGCAGCTGAAAAAATATGAAGTTTCGAAAATTCTAACAAAAATTAAATGTTTTGTTGGTCGATCTTTTAGACAATCATGTAAAGAGCTGGTTTATATAGGCTATGGAAAAGGTAAAGGTTCTTCGAGGATAAGTACGGTCGTCCTTGTCTTACTGTTCTAAAATCTAAATACGATTTTCTCTGTGGGACCCTTTTCACCATTGACATATCGACACGTATATGAACCAGCCGACCTTATCAATGAGTTGTGTTGTTAGTATTTTTCAAAGCGAGATAAATGTGCAACAACACAACTGAATGTTCTCTCGTGTTTTTTCTACTACTACTATGAGAAAAGTCCTCTTAACTAATTATATTGCAGTGAGCTGAGGAAAATTGTTGCAGTGATTTATGTTATTCGTGTCATTTGGAATGTCTAAATAGTTACTGAAAACATCATGTAAGTACTAACGAGTAAGTTCTTTCCACTGAGAAATCACCGACGCTATCTACTTCAATTATTCGACTATTTAGTGCATGAATCGTCTGGAAAACACGTGTCAAGCCAGTTGTCCTATCTTCTAGAATTCAGAAAAGCCTAACAACGATGTGTATCTATCAGAATTCTCCATATAATTAGCCCCGGCCGGTTCCATTTATCTTTTCTTCAAGCACTACGTTACGTTGGAGTCAGAAAAAGAAAAGAAGAAGCACTAACTATTCGACAGATATATAAAAATCTATCTATGATGAAAAAAGGCACTAGTAATAAGACGTTTACAACAAACAAAAAAAGAGGCGTTATACTAAGACACGCGTGGAATGCAATTTCTCGTTCGTGTGAAATGTACACGTGTTGGGAGAGTTAGGCAAGACTTCAATAAAAAAGCCAAAAGAAACAAAAATGAAGGAAAAAATACTAATATAACGGACAGAAAATATTGAACAAGTGTACAAACTACAAAGTTCTTACTAAAAAAATGGAAAGGATACGTTATTTTGAGACACGTATATGGACTAAAGATAAAAAAGATTACTATTTTAATACGTTTGATTCAAAGATGATTATGATATTGGAGTATATTTCTTATGCATTCAATTTCTAATGTAAAGAACATTATTATAATCAATTATTTTGGTTTACTCTCTTTTTATAAGTAAAGGATAAGAGTAATTAGGGTTTCTTTCACTCAAGAAATACTATAAATGGCTTAAGAAGTTGACAAGTGAAAACAATGGACCATACTGGACAACGCACAAGCCTTTCTATATAATACATTGTGACGCGCGATTCAAAGAACTCGATTCTTCTTCTTGATAATTCTTTATCTTTTTTCCTTTTAAAATTATTATTCTCATATTTCGTTTTCGATTGCTTTTAGATTTTAGAATTTAGTGGACGTGGATAATTCTTGTTCATAGAGAGAGGGACATGCTCACCATTTCTTTTATAGAAAAATAATCTTGAATATATAAGCAAAGATACGACAAGTTTGGTTCAACGATTTGCATAACTGCAATATGTGTTGATAAGAAACTCAGCAGTCGCTATTCAACTAGCGTATAATATTATTCTTATACTAATCTTGTCACAACAGAAAATTATTTTGCTATGGCTTTGGGGACAATGAGGTAATTAAACGGCACAAAACCATATTTATACAATTAATCGGACTATACTGTATACACATGAGTAGGTTGCGCAACAATGCCTCTTACACTCATCTCTCAGGAGATGTGTTCGTCATGTTTAATTTGCATATGCGTAAAATGACTTAATTAATCAGTTCGTTATGCATTGGCTTCGTTGTTTGTTTTATCCTGATGGACCACAGGGGGAAAACATCATTTATCGCTAGGGTTGGAAATTAGTCGTCAAGTGGTTTTTGAGGTATCCAAAATAACCGAATACGGTGTGTTGAGCTGTGATATATATGTTGATTTTTCGTAGCTGAATTTTGTCTTTAACCATCTCGTCTTAATTTAAGATATGAGTCTATCTTGTAGTTTATATTTTTTTCTAGACGTTGGATATATTATTATTGAAACTAACTCACGGATTCTTTAAAAAATATTAGAATAGTGAATTGTTTTTAAATAAAGGACATGAATACTTTTTTGAAGAATCAAAACAGAAAGAAAAATATATTGGACGCATCTAATTAATAAGTAGTGATGAGTTGTACACGTATATATATGGCCAGTCTCTAAAGTATGCTTTTATTTTTGAAGTTACATGTTTGTTAAAGCTTTAAAGGAGATAAGGTGAGGCGATCACGAAGGTTTAACAAAAAGAAAATAAAAAGGCATGATGCTTTCTAAATGCATGGCCTAAGCACTCTACATGTGTACATATATAATTTACTCGACATCACTTGTAACAGATATGCAGAATCTGGTCTGTATATGATTTATTAAAGACTCTTAGACCGTTTTTTTTCTTTTGTTTGTGTATAATTGAATGTTTAGATAGTTTCTACTTCAGCACAAATTTCCAACAATTACAACCTAAAAAAATATATAGTTCGAATTTCGAAATAAACTTAAAAAGTTAATTAGTAGACAATTCCTTAAGAGTTACTTTCTTCTTCGTTTGTAATACAAAATCTAAAAATGTTACATGCTAGAAATTACAGAAAGCTGAATGTTTCTGTTAATTGTATGGCAGCTAATTGAAGACATTGTTCCACTAACACCACTTACTGCTTGAAATTGTCTGAAACATGGGTCAATGACACCATTTGAAGCCCATATAGTATGTTTACTATACACCACGAATTCATTACTAGTTGGAGTTTAAACTCTTCATTTGATTTTTGGTTTGCTTCATAATATGAGTCTCTTAAAAAGTGAGACAAAAAACCGCGTGAGGTCAACTATCTTTACATGTACGAATATTAATTGTGAAGATGCGAATGATAACGTGTAAAGTGTGTTGGACTTGGAACACATAACCAATAAGCAAACATTAAATTGGCTTTGAACTTTCCTTTTAAACACACACAGAACATGTTCTTCACATTACTACTTAGATTCTTATAGAAGTCCCTTTATTGAGATTTCACTTATCAGAGGACCACATGAGCCGGACCAAACTAAACAAAGCATAACATTATAAACGAGGCTAAAATATTTCAATATATAACTGATATCATCACAAATATATCAATCTAATTTAACGGGGAAAAATAAAACTGCAATCAGAAACTTATTGTGTTACACATTAATTCGATCTTACTCAAAAAGTGCTAGAATCCGAAAAAAAAAAGTGGAGAAACCAAGTATTAGCCAGACTTGGTCCTACCGATCCTCATCAAAGCAATGTAAGCAATAACTCTATAAACAACAAGCATCGCAGCCAAAGCCAAGGAAGACACCAATCCACTATGAAACCCTATGTTCTTAATCCCTTCATAGTCACCAACATAACACTTCTTATCACCACAAGGATACCACTCACTCTCCGTGTACTGACCCAATATCAGTAGTTTATAGGTGTAGTAACCTATTGATACGTATTTAATCCAAGCGATAAACACTGGGACATTTCGAACGTAGTATCCTCCTGATAACAAAAACGAGAGCATTATGACTGACCCGAGCGTCGTGGCTGACTTTTGGTCCATCACTAGGGCACCTAGGGCTAGCCCTAGCCCACCAGAGACAAGGACGTGGACGAGGAGGACCAACAGAGTCAGGAAGAAGTTGAAGGGGTTAGGGTTTAGACCAGCCATCCAATATGTGATGATAAGAAAGAAAGTTGGTAGAATAAGCTCCATTGGTAGATCCCCGACAACTCGGGACATGAAGTAAGGCGAGAGCCTGTACATACCGGAGGAACGTTCTTTCTCGAGCATCGCTCGCTCTTGAGGAAAGGTGAAGATTTGTTGGAAGAGAGGGAAGAATGCCCAGAAGGATGAGATAAAGAACAATAGCCCTATCTGCAATATGAAACCACAAGTAATTAATCACATCATAGAATTATATACGTATGTATGTGCACAATGCCATAGACAAAAGTAGTGTATCTAGTTTGAGCTAAGTACCTGATCTTGTATGTGAGCAAGGTCGGTTTTCCACCAAAGGAGACCACATAGCAAAGACACAATCAGAACCTGACCAATCTTTAGGGTAGAGAAAGAATCGTGCCGCCTCTGCTTAAGGCTTCTCTTCGAGAGAACACAAAACTGTTGCCACCACGTCGTTGGCCAGTCTCCAAAATGCTTGCTATCTCCAGGACTCCCTATTGAATGGTTACTGTGATCATCTGGTCCTTTAACCTCATTGATAACATTTTCCAATAGATGTGTCTTGTAAACCGCAACTAGAGCTGCCTTTAAAGCCTCTGGTCTTTGGGATTCATCTGGTCCAACACCTACATGCATAATATATATCCATATTTTTATATTAGATATAAAGAGAGATAAAAGCTCTATGGAGACGGCAAGATATCACAATGAGAGACTTATGTACCATTTGCGATGTCCAAGAGAAAATCTGACGGATTAATCCTTTCAACGGATGGGGAGTATCCAACGCTAGCGAAATAATCCATAGCGTCTGATCCAAGCCCAAAGTAGACTGGATTACCTTCTGAGAGGAGAAGAATCTTATCAAACATATAGAACAACCTACTAGAAGGTTGATGAATCGTAGTCACGACGGTTCTTCCACCACGAGCAAGTTCCCACAAAATCGACACAATCCTCTGAGCAGTGGTTGAGTCAAGACCAGAAGTAGGCTCATCAAGAAAAAGCAAACTAGGGTTTATAAGAATCTCTTGCCCTATACTAACCCTTTTCCTCTCACCACCAGAAACACCTCTCAAGAAAGGTCCTCCAATGATAGTATTCTTACATCTCTCCAGACCCAATTCAGTCACAACCGCCTCAGCTTGTTTGATCTTCTCTTGTCGTTTCATAGTATTAGGAAGCCGAAGAAGCGCGGTGTAGACTAGAGTTTCCGTAACAGTCAAGTGAGGGTAAAGAGCATCGTCTTGAGTCACGAAACCGGTGGTTCGCTTCACACCTTTGGAGAATGGCTTGTTGTTGTAAGTTATGTTCCCAGTGAGCTTCCCTTTCCCTTCACTAACCCTCCCTCCTAGAGCTGTTAAGAAGGTGGTCTTGCCGCTCCCTGAGGGACCAAGCATGGCAAGGATCTCTCCAGGTTTGACGATCCCGGTTATGCCCTTCAAGATGGTACGCTCTTCGGTTTTTCCTTTGGTTTGACAAGGCCAGCTTTTTTGTTCCTCCACCTTGACCGTGTACATAACATTCTCAAACTGCTCCACAAAGAACAAGATTGAATCATCAGTTTTGTTTTATTAAAAACACATAAACACTTGCGTATATCAAATTTTTGTATCAAGGAATAAATAGATTTATATGTATAGCCACACAAACCTTTAAAGTAATAGGAAGATTAGCCTTTTTAAATATTGAAAAAGGAAGGGTTCGATCATCGACATTGTTCTCGATCTGAGCTTCAATATCCATAGAAACCTCTTGACTATCCATTCCCAAAATTGATCGACGATATGTATAAACACTCAGTCACAGGTAACTACGGATTAAAGTTGAATAAATCTAGACGAATAAAATATTCTTCCGCTAGTTAAGAAACTCTTATTTGATGAAACAGAATCGATCGAGGAGGAGAGAAAACAAAAAGTGGAAGAAGTATTTTAATTTTGTTGGCTTTGCTCCTAGAGACAGAAGACAAAACTAAAACTTGTATACTCTTTATTCAGGTAAATAAAGAGATATTAGGGTTCACGTAAGGGAAGTGAGAGAGAGTTTTAAGGATATATAGAAGGAAGATTCTTAGAAGAATGCTTCTGTTACTAGCACGCTTTTAGAGTGGGATGTTTGTTTCGATCCTTTTATTAAAAAAAGATTTAAATCAATCTGAGATTTGCTACGCGTTTGTTTTTTATTTTCAATTAAAAAAATTAACCTAAAACCCTTAAACTAAATTAAATCTAACAATCTTAAATAACATTTAAAAAAATATTAAAAAAAACTAACATCACTTTTTAATCAGTAAATATTTTAGAAAACATACAAATCTTAAAATCTCTACACCAGTTACAATAATCATTTTATCCGACAAGAAAATAATATAAAAAGATATAACAATTACTATTTAAATGGAATAAGCATATAAACAACTTTTTTCTTAAAGAGTTTATATATATAACAAATAATGATTCTACATTATATTTTAATTAAACTGTTCATTTTTTAGCAAAAACTATTTGTTGACTAATTCTAATTCGATTTATGTTAGTTTTACATGTTAAACTAATTATCAGTTTTTTTTCGTACACCAATTCTTAAGTAATTATTTGTTTTTTGTTTTTTTATGTTTCTAAAGTGAATTGTTTTTTTAAGAAAACTGAGAACGGTGCATGGATTATTAATTATATTATTTTCTTACATATACAAATATACTTCAAAACAGGTGTCAAATATTGCATCAATATTTGCTTAGTTCTACTTTAAGATTTTCTCTCAAACGTTAAACGAATAGTTATATATCACATCAACATTTGTTTAGTTCTAAACTAGAAGATTTGTGAATTGTTTGACACCGGTCAGAGGAACCATTATGTACTAATTTCATAACGTTTTAAATTCTTCTAAACTAAGGAGGATATCAAAAAAAGTAGACGTAGTCTAGATGGGGGACACCACTGGAGCTATCTTTTTAGTCTTTCCGAATCTGAAACAAAACAAAACAAAACTGATAAACTAACATAAACATAATGGTAAAATAAAAGATGAGAAAACATACAGAAATGTAACCTCCACTTAAGAAATCAAAGGTGAGGATTCGTAAGCGAAAAGTAATAGTTGAGCACGCGATCATCCACCCAAAACAACTTGGTTACTGAAAGTTTATTATGTCATGATCAATCTTATAAACCATTTTAGTTGTTAAAATGTAAATAGCTTTTGTTACTTTGGTGTGGATCATGTGCAAGATTCAATGCATATGCAATGATTCTAAATGAAAAATAAATTTATATGATATCGTACATGTATACTTGGTTTTATACTTGGATTTCATGAATATAGACAAAACGCTGAGATCTTTTTGATTATGACTATGCTCTAACCTCGGTGCAATTGGATCTTTTCTCTGCTTTTCCTTACAGGTTTTGCTCGGTTCACCTGTTATTTGTGGCCTGAACTTCTGTTATTTTCTTTAAAAAATGATGAGAAGAAATTATGGAAAAAGAAACAGAAAACAACGTCGAGATTATTTGGATTCCCTATGGGTTTAATACTAATGTTTATGAATAGAATTAAATTTCACTCTAAAGAAAGTCAACCATACGAGGAATTTCCAGCTGCGTTGATTTCTTAACTTTGAATTAAATTAATCACATTAAATGTGTTGACCAATATTTTCTTTTCAGGCTTGTGTTGACCAAGATTAAAATACTCAAATTGATTACAAACATTCAGATATTTTCTCAATATAACTATCTAAACAAAATTTTACTTTCATTGTAAGTAAAATAAACTCTTAGTTGTTATTTTGTTGTACTGTAAAAAACTTTTTAAAAAATCTGGAGGAAGTCTACTCGGAGGGAAATATGTTTGAATTTAGTAACATTTCTGTATGAATGCTTAACTTTTTTTAGTGTTTCAATTTTTTTGACTAATCATAAAGAGCTTAAACCGCATTTTCTCAAGAATACACTTAATTTCATGGAAACTAGGGAATTTAAATTTCGGTATCCACTCTTATAACTACCAGACTTTTAGTTCGAAGTTCGAACTAAACTCTCTAATTGGAGCTTGATATGTGATATACACTTTCTGTTAGTTAATATGCTTTTTGTCTTTTCTATCTTACTTTGTATACAACGAGCGGTCGAATTCCACTTAAACGTGGCACCATATTGCCCATCATGTTACTCTTTCTTTCGAACCCTAATCTCATTTTTATTTCTTTGTATATTCTGAAGGAAAGATGAAAATAATAGTACATAGCAAGAAAAGGAAAAAGCAAACCGAAATTAAAAAAAAAAAAATTGAAACTTTGACTTGAAATATACTTGAAAATTTGCAAATTAATTACGTAGTTTTGTGTTATTTTCTCATGTCATGGAATGAAAAGTTTAAAAAACAAAACCCAAGCGAACCCTCTTGTCGAACCAGAGAGTTTTGAAACTACCTTTGATGAATGATGACCGTTAGCTGAGAAGACTTCGGTGGTTGCAACCCCCACATGAAATCAAGAAAATGGTCCAAATCTTTTATGACCACTCTTTCCTACAGTTCGACTTGTCCCTCTCGGAAATCTTAAACGATAACTTGTGTCACGTATCTAGTTTATTATCGAAGACATCAGGGAGGTGCAAAAGGAGAAGAATTGAAAGAAATGATTGCGGAGACAGGGATGGTATTGGTTGGTGTTTTTGGATTATGGGCGCGCTTTGTTCGACAGCCGCTGCTTGACTTCACCGGAGAAATTATACACGTAGCCTCTGAAGTCGTCTTGAGGATGTGTCGACGAGATACAACTTCCTATGCTCCGGTTTCTACTGCTACTGATAACTCTCCTTTTATCTCCACAAGAAGGTGATCATATTAATATGTATATGATAACTTTTTGAATTGAAGAACTTTAGGAATACATATAGGTTTTTTTCCCTTATTTGTAGGTTCTCAACTTTACATATATACAATATATATAAGTATATTTCTTTTTGAATGCGTTAAATTTATTGATCGACAAGAAAAAGAGTTAGCTTAGCTACATGGGTTTCTTGAAGAGTTTTGAAAGAATGCTACCAACATAAACGAGACTAAGAAATTTTAGTTAATACGAGAGATGAGTGTTGAGAGCCTCCGGGACCGTGGCTTCACGAACAGAAGATGTGTCTGGTTTCTTATAAATATGTCGATATCTTGAATTAGATTAATGTCTGAGATGCGTGAATTGTGTTGATCTCTCTTGTTCTTCAATCGCCATATGATGTATGGATACCTAAAAGCTCAACCGGTAAAGAGTATTAGTGAGCGCTTAACTGCCGAAGAAAGTGTGAGACATCAGAAGATTTTGACGTTGATGTACACACAAATTATGGCATGTTTGTGTTTCTATTACACCCAAACCCGGCCCATATTTGCGAAAGCCCATAGGAACACAAGCATGTGAACAAATATACTCACGTGCATCTTTTTTTTCCAATCGTCTTCTTTGTCGCTTTCTTAATTGATGCCTATTCTCTTATTGTGATTTGATCATTTTTTGGACGACAGACTATCTGTTCCAGCGACAGTAAAGCAGAAGTTGTAAACAATTACTCCCTCTGTTTTTTTTAATGAATTTTCTAGCTATGTGTTGTTTGACAAAGATAAAACTTTTATTTTTTTGATGCACTTTTTCAGTTTTCAAGATACAATAATTATATTTGTTAGATTTTTATTGGTTTAAAATTATAAAAAGTTGTTTTATTGCAGAAATTTATGCACTAATGATTGAAAATCAATTTTTTCTTAATCTATGTAAAAAAACTATAAAATTTATCTTTAAAAAACGGAGAGAATAGTTTATTTTATTGGGTGATGCGAATGTTACTAAATTACAATAAAATAATAGTAACGAAATCTTCATTTCTCGATATTCTTTGACAGGAAGTATAAGAAGACAAGTAGATACAATTGATCAATCACGTGACCCACATTAATTAATACTAATAATCATACTACTTAATGACTTCTTTGTATAATTATCACAAGCATAACTTCACAATGAAAATACTTGAGTTGGTTCCTACAAGTGGCTATACCTTTTGGCGATAATCTTGTGATATTTTCTTGTTAAAGATAATCTTGTGATCTTATTAATGAAGCATCTATTCTAACCAACAATGCAAGCTTTTCTGGTTATTAGCCACTTTACCATCATTGGTGATTATAATTTCCGACCTTTTACACAATTTATCAAACAAACAAAAATAATGACAAACTTATTGCACAGTTTTAATTGTTTTCAACAACATATTTTCTCAAGTCTTGTTAGCTGAACCGTAGATGACAGATTTCCAGGTAGAAGAAGTACATAACTTAAATATATGAGCAAACACTATTTGTGAAAATATGGAATAATTGTGTAACTTGATGGAGATGGAGAATTGTACTTCTTCACTTATCTTGTGCAATAAGTTCACACCATTCTCCACCTCACATGGTTTGATATTTGAAATAATTGTGTAACTCGATTGTCTCCCCTCCAAGCTAAGACTAATAATAGTACAAGTAATTAGTAAACATCACAGATTCACATAAACTTCATAAACTTCACATTCTACCAATTTTTTTGCAAAATAAAATTATAATATGATTTTTATTTGAGTAACTGTTACTACTCCCTCTATTTTATAATAAGTGTTGTTTTGACTCTTTAATTACCCAATGTATTTAAATATTAATGAATGTATTAAGACTCAAAACACATCAAGATACATCATTAAATATTAAATAGTCCAGATTCATTTTGTCAAAAAGACATTTATTATAAAAGCGGATGGAGTATTACTTGTCTCTCTTGGTATCCAAGTTTTTGACCGATCTGACTCATCTGACATATCAACTAACACTTTCATTTCCCCATAAAACACTTGTTGAAGGAATGAGTCTCCTTAAGTATTATATTTATAGCAATCAGCTTGGTTTCGAGGTTTCATGTGGACTATAATTGAATGTGATTGCAAAGAACTCAATAATGATAGATAACTTGAGATTCCATGAGCTCAATGATATGGGCGAAACCTTTCTTTTGTTTGTTCCACACATCTATACAGTCGTCCGGGAATGTAATTAAGTTCCTGACAAAAAATATTAAAACTGGGAGATAACTAAACTCCTACCCAAATCTCCTATTTCTATCCTCTAAAATGTATTAATCGTTTTCTCTTCCATAATTATTCAAAATGTTTGGTAAGATTAATGACTAATGAAAATATCACACATTTACAGGAAAAACACAATAGTAACAGTCAATACAAGTGTGTGTCTATCGGTGAAGTGGGTGTGTCGGCGTAGAGAACAAAGGGACCCACATGGGCATATGATTAAAACAGTAAATGAAAGAGGAAAATAAAGCGAAAAAACAAAAAAAAAAACCTCCATGAAACTCTCTCTCTCCTCTTTCTTCTTTCATGTGAATGTCTGAATTTCAATGCATGTGCTCGCTTTTGGATCTCAATCGTCCTACAGCTTTTACTTCTTTCTCTTCTCTATCTCTTAGCTGTCACGAAAACATTCTCTTTTACTCTCTCTCTCTCTCTCTCTCTATGTGCAAATAAATCAGAAATCTAATCAACATTCTTGAACAGCACAAGTAGTCCTTCAAATCCTGGTGACACTTAAATTAACCCATCCCTTTGTGTTCTGCTTGTTGGGTCATTAATGGATCCCAGAACAAGACTTGACTATGCTCTGTTTCAGCTCACACCCACCAGAACCAGGTACTTCTAAGTTCTAAATTCTAACGCTTTTCTTTGTTCTCAACCAATTCAAACACACTCTAAATTGATTCTCTCTGCCTGAAGATGCGAGCTGGTGATTTTCTCCGGTGGAGAGAACGAGAAACTTGCTTCCGGGATATTTCAGCCGTTCGTTACGCATCTCAAGAGCGTCAGAGATCAGATTTCTAAAGGTGGATATTCCGTCACTCTCCGTCCTCCTTCCGTCTCCGGCGCCGGCGCTCATTGGTTTACTAAAGTGACGCTCCAGAGGTAAAAAAAAAAAAAAAAAAAAATCTCGCCGTCTTGTAAAAAAACTTTCTATTCATTCGTTTCTAAATCCTAAAAATGGGCTAAATTTTGTTTCCGATTTTTGGGGAAAAGATTTGTGCGATTCGTGACCACTCCGGAGGTTCTTGAGAGGTCCGTAACATTAGAGAAGGAGATAGAGCAGATCGAGGATTCGATTCAGTCTAATGCAGCCGCCATTGCCGGCGAATCAGAAGGTATGTTTCGACACGTAATCTGAATTTGGGCACCAATATATGAACAGAGATTCAAAAACAAAATTTGATATTTTTCAACATTGTGTAATCTCGTCTCTATATAGGAAACGAATTGGGCAGTAACTGGACTTCTCAGAAATCTACGGCTTTATCAAAGGTGATAATTTTTTCTCCCTTAGATGCTAAAGTCTGAGTTTTTATTTAAATGTTTCAAGTTCTTGACTCTGTTTGTGTATAGGCAAAAAGTGAACCTGATGGAGACAATGGGGAAGAAAATTCTAAGTAAGTTTTTAGTAGTGTTTCTTTTTTGTCATTGTGTAAGTTTAGTTTTAACCGGTTATGTGTGAAGTTGATTGATCCTGATAAGTGGTGACATGGATGTATAACAGGGTTGGTCTTCAGCGTGTTCTAGAGAACCGCAAAGCAGCATTGTGCAAAGAGCAAGCCATGGCTTACGCTCGAGCTTTGGTTGTTGGGTTTGAATTGGACTACATGGATGACCTCTTGTCTTTCGCCGATGCTTTTGGAGCTTCTCGTTTAAGGTACGTAACCAAACCATTTCATGATGTCATTGTGTTGCTTTGGTGATGAAATCAGTGTTGTGGTTCCTTTTGCGTCCAGGGAAGCGTGTGTTAACTTTGTGGACTTGTGCAAGAGAAAGAACGAAGATAGAATGTGGGTGGACCAAATCACAGCTATGCAAGCATTTCCAAGGGCTGAATTGTCCTTCATGGGTGACTCTGGGATCATACTTGCTGGTGAAGAGAACGATTTGTTGAATGCTACAAACGTCAAGAACGGGAACTCAATGGATGCCTCGAGCCAGGGTAGCTTCGAGACTAGCCAAGGTCCCTTATTAGAAGCATCAATTCTGTTTTTGTCTTCATTAGATGTTCTTGAAATTGCTATGTTTTGGTAGTTATTTGTTAGTAACTTAAGCTGCATTATGTGCAGAAGGGAGAGCTCAAATGGCAATGCCGTGGCCAAACCAGTTTCCTCAGTACATGCAGAACTTCCAAGGACATGGCTATCCTCCTTATATGTATCCGGGGATGCAAGGCCAGTCGCCGTATTTCCCCGGGAACATGCAGTGGCCTGTGAACATGGGGGGAAATGTGGAGGCAAGTGAGAAGTCTTCCAAGAAGAAAAAGAAGTCTAAGAAGAAGAAGAAGAAGTCGAAGCAAGATGATTCCACCGAGGCAAGCGATGATTCCAGTGGTGAGACTGAATCAGAAGACGGAAATGAAAAGGAGAAACCATCTAGAAAAGTGGTGATCCGCAACATAAATTATATAACTTCAAAGAGGAATGGAGGTAAAGAGAGTGATTCAGAGGAGTCCGAGGAAGAAGAAGAAGGGTTTGTGGATGGAGATTCCATCAAGCAGCAAGTAGAAGAAGCCATTGGTTCAATGGAGAGACGGCACAAATCAACCTCACGTCGTCGGAGGAAACACAAAACTCAAAGTGAAGATGATGATTTAGGTAACAAGGAAACTAAAGGGAATGATAACTGGAATGCTTTCCAAAACCTTCTTCTGAAAGACAAAGATTCAGATCAAGAAGAGTCACTACGAACATCTTTACCTCCGTTGGACATGGAGTCAGAAGTTGTGAGGAAGAGAGAGGCGCCTGTGGATGATTCTTTCTTGTTTGCAAATGTGAATGAGGATTGGGGACGAGAAAGCGGTAGCAAGAAACTCGACGCAGGTGAGAATGTTCGGCTGATAAGGAGAGAGAGCAACTACGATGAGGAGATGTTGAATCCAGGTAGAAGCGATGAGTCAAGAAGCTATTCGCAGGCAGAGATGTCGATTTCCGATGGGAAGCTCAGAGCCAGAGATGATGCAGAGGAAGGTTGGTTCATACGTAACCAAGCAGGTCAAGAAACTGATCCGAGTCTTGTCAAGTCATTTGTAGGAGACCATTTTCATTTGAGCAAGAGCAGCGAGAGAGATGTCCTGACGGATGACTCGTTCATGATCCATTCTCGCGGTGAAGGCCAAGTAGAAGAGTTTCGGTTGAGGACTGACATGATGGACTCGGACGTCTATGGAATCACACAACAAGAAAACTCTGCACCGGAGATCAATCGGCATGAGCCAGATGATCTTTTCATGGTTCTTGGACGGGAACAAGATGTTACACCTACATTGTTACCATGGACTCCTGAGATTGATTACGAGACCAACAACACTTTGGTTCAAGAGACGAGCAAGCTTGATTTGGAAACCGCTGCAAAGGAACAAACCACAGATGGTAAAGAAAAGAAAAGCCGTGGCGGCATTTCCAGGGGGAAGGATGCAAAGTCGAGAGTATCAAGTAGACCTGACCCAGCGTCAAAAGCCAAGAGAGCTCCTTGGGGAAGTAGAGCTGCTGCCACCAAAACCAAATCCGAAATGGTAATTTCTTTAAACGCTTCTCGTCTTTCTTTGATTAGTTTCCTTGTTCTCATATTTGGTATTTGATAGGAGGAAGAGAGGAAGAAGAGAATGGAAGAGCTTTTGATTCAGAGGCAAAAGAGAATCGCTGAGAAGAGTTCTGGTGGTAGTGTAACAAGTTCCTTGACGTCCAAGAAAACTCCTACTGCAACCAAAACCGTGAAGAGCTCGGTCAAGAACGAGAAGACTACAGAAGCTGCGCAGTCAAAGGCTAAGCCAGTGATGAGAAGCTCCACTATTGAGCGCCTTGCTGCTGCCCGGACCGCACCAAAGGAGCCACAACAAAAACCGGTTATCAAAAGAACATCAAAGCCTTTAGGAAACAAGACAGAGAAACCACAGGACAAGAAATCGAGTAAAATAGGTCAATCCGATGCAAAAAGCCTGGAACTTTCTCGTGACCCGAGTTTCGAAATCAAGGAAACAGTGGGAGATTCACAGTCTTACTTGCCGGAGAAGCAAGTTGATGAACCTCGTGCTGCTGCTGCTTCTTCTGCTGATGATTTCAAAGACATTAAAGAGTTGCATAGCTTGCCAGACAAAGAAACTGCCAGAGGAACTAATGAAATCACCGCCGATCATCAGAAAGTACAAGAGCAGATGGAAATCCATGACCACGAAATCGTGAAGAAGACATCTATCTGTGAAGATAAGCAAATCACTGCGAAAAGTCGTTCGGAGGATGTCGTAGAAGTGGATGCTTCACAGGCGAAACCGGCGTCTCCAAAGAAGTCTGTGACTTTTTCAGAGACAAACATGGAGGAGAAGTATTATTTCTCACCAGCTGTCTCGGAGATTGACGTCTCGACGCCGCCGGCGAATGAAACAGATCATTCGAGGAAGAAATGGAACAGTGAAGAGACATCTCCAAAGGCTACGGCTAAAGTGTTCAGGAAGCTTCTAATGTTCGGAAGGAAAAACAAGAGTTAGAGATTTCTTCAAAGGACGTCGTTTGAGTTCAGTTGGAAAAGGAGCCCGTTTGATATTTTTCTCTTTATTCTTTAAATTCTTTTTCAGGTGTGATATTAAAATATGTTTGGTTTTTATCAATTTGATTTGGCTGTTTATATTTCATTGTTTGATGTGTGGTTATAGCATTTATGTATAAAAAAAATTGGTTTGGTGAGTTTGAATAAATATTATTTTGATTTTTGTAACTAAAGTACTAAACTATTTGATTGGGGATCATAAGAAAAGAACAAAATAATAACAGTATGAATTAAAAGAATGAGAAAGAATTAAGCAAAAGGAAAAAACTTAGTTTTTCATGCAATTCGGTAGATGATTAGTCGGGTTTAAGTTTCTGGTACAGTTAGATTGATGAAGAAGTCTCTGGCAGTATCATCACCCACCTACAATTTTAAAAGCATTCTACTTTTTATTTCATTTTAAATCTTTGTTTTGGTAAAATGTTCCCATCAAGTGGGAATCTAATTTTCCGCGTTATTTCTTTCCACGTTCTTAGGCATTTTTCAATCTGTTTTCCACTTTGAAACTTATTTTACGATTAAAAAGAAAGGTAATAATTCTGATTCCGTCACGTTACTAATTTCGTAGACATTTTTACTTCAACAAAAGAGGAGACACAGCTAATTTTCTTTTTAACAAATATCGTATTATGTTTTTGTCATAAACTTCTCCCACAAGGAAGCTCTGTTTCAATCTTTCGTTCTAAGCATCCTCTCGACTACCATATTCCTTTAATCCTTTTCCCCAATTTCTTAGATAAACTTTTCCAAGACACAAAAGTACTTTTTATTGAACAACAAGAATAAACAAATAAAAAGGTGAAATGCCCATTTCAAAGAAATGGTAACGTGTCTTTTTCCATTAGGCAAGACGATCAAATCTGAGCAAACAAAGTTTGTCTTTATATCTAAAGAAACATTTTGTGAAAGAGAAGACAGTAAGGTGAATCAATGGCGTCGAAGATTATCTCCGCCATAGTCTTTGTGTTCAATCTCATTGCCTTTGGTTTAGCCGTTGCCGCTGAACAAAGACGAAGCACTGTGAGTCTTAAACAAATCTCTAAAACGATATATAGTTTGAGCAAGATGAGTATTATTTGATCTCTCGTAACATTTTGAAATTTTATATAATATATAATCTTTTGGTGGGGCAGGCAAGGGTTGTGCAAGACACTGAGGTTCAATACAACTACTGTGTTTATGATTCGGACAGAGCCACAGGATATGGAGTTGGAGCGTTTTTGTTCTCAATGGTTAGTCAGCTCCTTATCATGCTCGTTAGCCGTTGCTTCTGTTGTGGCAAGCCTCTCAAGCCTGGTGGTTCACGCGCTCTTGCCCTCGTTCTCTTCATTGTCAGCTGGTAAATATATCTATCTGAACTCAGTTAATTCATCATAACATATAAATCTTGTTGCTAAAGCTAGCTTCTTATTTGTGTTATTAACCTATTGGTGCTTCAATCTATGTAAAACGCGCGAAATTTTCTTCAGACATGCAAAAACCAAATACGGTTGTGCTAATATAATTTTTAACATTTTGGTTGTTGTTTTCTCGGCCAAAAATAGGATGTTCTTCTTGATAGCAGAGATATGTCTATTAGCTGGATCCGTGGAAAATGCATATCACACAAAGTACAGGACAATGTTCATGGACAATCCTCCTGATTGTCAGACTCTTCGTAAGGGTGTCTTCGCAGCTGGTGCTTCTTTCGTCTTCTTCAACGCCATTGTCTCTCAGTTATATTACTTTTTCTTCTCTTCAGCAGCTGAGGCCTCCCTCTCGCCTTACTAGATGATTTTAACCAACAAAATAAGCTTCTTCTTTTTGCCTATGTGCTATGTGATGTACTAATATCATATTTTGAGGAGTTTTCGTTTTCTGTATGACTGCAAACGTATTTGAATTTGAGGGAACAACTATGAGTTTTGTAGATTGATTTGCAAAGATATTGAATGAAAATGTTGTTTTTTTAAGGCGGGTGAAATTTGATGCATTGCGATTTATGGTTAGTAGTAGGTTGTGACATGAGATATATGCTATTAGTATATCAGTCAATAATTTCAAAACTATACTAGTACAACGTCACCAATAACACTTGTCATACAAAAATTAGTTGTCTAATAAAAAGAAACATTAGAACAAGACTGGTGAAAAAGTAAAATTAATTCAACAGCAAAAATAAGTTGAACTTAACAAATTCTCAAGATAAGCAATGCCAAACAATTATATGACTGGAAAATTTGTATGCAATCACAAAACTATGTTTATCAGTTTTTTGTTTATTCAACCGGTTAAGAGATTTCTAGACTTCTAGTGGAAAAATTGTCTCGCATGTTACTGAATAAAAAATCATGGTTTCATAAGAAAATGGGACAACTTATCCAAACATCAGAGTGTCCATAACAGCTAGTAGCATCTCCCATGCCAAAAGGATGGGATCCCATGAAGACCAATCACCATCCTTATTGCAACTGTTCCATTTGTTACCAAAACAAGCTATAAAAATAAAATATCTATTCACAGGGAAATCTAAACCACAAATTCTCATTGGACATTCAAAGCTGACGTGGCAGATACTTTCTCTAAGATAATGTTATCCACACATCTCTGTAGGGACCACTCTTTCCCTGTCCGAGTACCGCCTCCTCCACTCCTTTCGCTACTACATATAGCGAACACACTCTCTCTCGGAAAAATATCCACTTCAACAGTCATCTTCTCTCAATCGCTCTCTTTTTTTAAACAATGGCACTTCAAGCTGCGTCTTTGGTCTCCTCTGCTTTCTCTGTCCCTAAAGATGGAAAACTGAATGCTTCTTCATCATCCTTCAAGGACTCGAGTCTATTTGGTGCCTCCTTTGCCGACCAAATCAAATCCGAACATGGCTCTTCCTCATTAAGATTCAAGGTATATAACAAAACTCTACATTACAGTGTTGATTAAGCCTTCTTCTCGGAATGATTAGTAATTGATTAATTAAGAGATATGTAAATATTCAGAGAGAACATAGCTTGAGGAATGCTTCAATTCGAGCCCAAACCGCTGCGACTTCAAGCCCCTCAATCACAAAATCTACCGTGGACGGCAAGAAAACGTTGAGGAAAGGAAACGTGGTGGTCACTGGAGCCTCGTCTGGGTTAGGTCTAGCCACGGCTAAAGCTCTAGCCGAGACAGGGAAATGGCACGTGATAATGGCGTGCAGAGACTTCCTTAAAGCGGAGAGAGCCGCTAAAGCCGCAGGGTTGCCTAAAGACAGCTACACGGTGATGCATTTAGACTTAGCCTCGTTGGACAGCGTAAGACAGTTCGTTGATAACTTCAGGAGATCGGAGATGCCTCTCGATGTTTTGGTCTGCAATGCAGCTGTTTACTTCCCGACAGCTAAAGAGCCTACTTACAGTGCAGAAGGGTTTGAGCTTAGCGTTGCTACGAATCATTTGGGACATTTTCTTCTCGCGAGGTTGTTGCTTGATGACTTGAAGAAATCTGATTACCCTTCAAAGCGTCTCATCATCGTCGGATCCATTACCGGTATTGATTAGAATCTCAAGATATAGCCTAATACATTGTCATTGCAAGCTAGAGGATGGTTTTTGATTCATTGTATTATTGGTTTTGGTTTAGGGAACACGAACACATTGGCTGGTAACGTACCACCGAAGGCGAATCTCGGTGATTTGAGGGGTTTAGCGGGAGGATTGAACGGTTTAAACAGCTCGGCGATGATTGATGGAGGAGATTTCGACGGTGCAAAGGCTTACAAAGACAGTAAAGTATGCAATATGTTGACGATGCAAGAGTTTCACAGGCGTTTCCATGAAGACACCGGAGTTATTTTCGCTTCGCTTTACCCTGGTTGCATCGCCTCCACCGGTTTGTTCCGAGAGCACATTCCGCTTTTCCGTACCCTCTTCCCTCCGTTTCAGAAGTACATCACTAAAGGATATGTCTCCGAGACAGAGTCTGGCAAAAGACTTGCTCAGGTAGGGTTTTTATTGTAGCTTGCAAGTCAAGGAAAGACTTTTCTTGCTGTGTACTCAAAAGTAATAGAGTTTTGTTTTGATCAGGTGGTGAGTGATCCGAGCTTGACGAAATCAGGGGTTTACTGGAGCTGGAACAAGGCTTCTGCGTCTTTCGAGAACCAGTTATCAGAAGAAGCAAGCGATGTTGAGAAGGCTCGCAAAGTGTGGGAGATCAGTGAGAAGCTCGTTGGCTTGGCCTAATTATGACTTGAGATCACTTTCCTCTGATGAGACCTATTGATCAAAACCTAAAGAGCTTTCTGGATTTTTAGATGTTTGATTCTGTTGCGGATTTTGTTGTTAGTGTGTGTTGAGTGTAGATCGGCTTGGGCGTGAGTAGCCCACAATAAAGTAATAAAAAGTGGCCAATCTTAAGCTTTATTTTCTCTGTTTTGGAGAGTTTAATTTTACAGTTTTATTCATGGCTTACTAGAAACACTTCATCATAACTAAGATGAAAAAAAGTGGAGAAGAACAAGAAAGTGCGAACAAAGAAAAACCATCTTTTGAAAGTTATCTAGAGAATGCAAGGAAAGTATTCAGAGAGACCAATTGGCTTCACTTCCACGACGAGGGATGCTGTTAACACGAGAGTACACATCCACTTTGAAGTTAGCACCACAGAGAACTCCTTCGCTGTCAACTCTGGGCATCGCCTTGATCTTGTTCATCGGATGCTCAAAGCTCATTAACCCTCCTTCACTGTGGAACATACATCCTGCCAACACACTCAAAAGTTTCATCAAACAATCCATTCTTTCTTGGATCATACATACACATTAGCTTCACTATATCAATCATCATTACATCAAGTCCAAGTCTTTGTTCAGTGTTTACCTGTAGGAAATGGAGCAAAAGATTTAGCACAGCCCTCTTTAATAACATCCAAATCATCTGATATCACAACGGATCCATCAGCAGCTATGCCCCAGAAGAGCTTGACTCCTCCATCAGATCCCTACAAGAACAAACCCCAATCATCAAGTTTCTCAAAAAACTTTAACATCTTTAGAGTATCAATAAAAGGGCTTGGAGTGATTTGTGAAATACCAGAGCTGTGAAGACAGAACCGGCTTTGCTGTCATACACGACAAAGGCAAAGCTTCCGTCTAGATCCTTGACGACCTGATCAGCTGGATAAGGACCTCTGTCTCTAAGAGTCCTATAAGCTTCAATCACAAACATGGCCTCGTTTGCTGTCTTGGCGAGACCATATTGCTTGTTTAGCTGACAAAGATTGTTCAAGCTCCCAAAGAAGAGACAGTAGATGTCATCAAATCCACAAAACATCCTTGAAACAAAAATTTCAAGGTTAAAATGGAGCAGAACCTTAAAACAGAAAGAAGGGACGCAGGATAATTGTGTAAGTTACCTCTGGTGAATGGAGAAGGAAGCTGAGGGACGGACATAAGCGAGAACAGCAGCTTGTCCGAAAGACATAGAGAAAGTGTTGGAAGGGTAACGAGACAAGAAACCGTTTAGGGTTTCCTCTGGAAGCTTCGGCTGTTTAGAGCATTTCTCAGATGCCGGACTGTTGAGTTCCTCCGGCGGATGAGAGAACGCCTCGTGAAATATAGCCAACATTTCTCTACAGAAGAGATGAAACCAAACAATTAAAACTATAAATCTAAAAGAAGGATGTGTTTTAACTTTCTCTTCTTTCTTTGTAAGAAGAATCTTTTGATGGAAAAAAATGGAGAAGTAGAGTGGTGGAGGTTTCGTGAGTAAATATATAACTGAAGCGGTGGCTAATTGTTTAGTCCGTTGTCTGTTTTCTCTTGTTTTTCCTGTGGGAAGGAAAAAAAGGTTTTGGATGAGATCCACGAGACTATTCGTTCTTTATACTATTATAAACTTGGTATATTAATGGATAAGAATCTTTTGTAACATGTATGTTGTTGTGTTTCTTTTTCCATATTCAATCTTTTTATTATTATTTGATAATTGTTAAACCAAAATGATACTTATGATAGGTTTGAAATTTGAGTCTATATATGCGTATTATCAAGCGGGGAAAAATAGGAATTGGTGGGCCATGAAAAGAGAGATGTCAGTGTCACGGGATAAGCATTCTCGTACTTTTATGTGTTCTTATCTTACCACTTCCCCACTTTTGTTTTTTTCTTACCGATTATTCTAAACTCAAAGAGATTCTGTGATTCCCCAGACGGAAACTGTGTTGTTGTAGTGTTGTATTGGATTACTGTCATGGCACGCTATTAGAGGCTCATTTGGATTTTTCCCAAATGTCGGCCCAAATTCAATATATGACCTTATTATCCCATTTCACTTTTGGGCCTAATGGATCATCTGGACCGTAGAACATAAACGTCAGGTATTTTCGTTTTCTACCACCAGCATTTGAGTCACCAAATCAGTTTTCTTTAGATTTAATCCTTCAAAGACAAACCCCACTCTATGTACCATGATAATCATTGTCAGTAAAACTAATATAGGAGCTATTTTACTCTAAACAGTTAAAATAAAGTTGGGCCCCTGCTTTATAAATCTGCAATAGCTTCCTATATTTTACGAAAGAAAACAAAATTTGAAAAATACAAAAAGACAAAATCGCGCACACACACACACACACACACACAAAAATCTCGATTAAAAGTAATAAATAGCATAGAGCTCATACTGAAAAACGGTCCAATTTTACAAAGACGAAATCTTTACATACATTGCAGTCAAAATTTGTGACCAACAAAACAATGTACTAAGTTTGATAAGTGGAAATCAATCTTTCATATAACCAAAACAACTATGATGAGATTCTAGTATCACAACTTGTTTTGGCATTGGAAATCGAAACTAACCGGACATGGATGCGGAGTTTCAATCCAATTTACGAGGTAATTTTCCAACCAAAAGTCACCTCCAATTTCATCGTAGACTAGTATTTTTTTAACAACTACTAACCGTTTAAACGAAAGATAAGCAAACACACATCTCACCGGCCATTCTTTGCTTTTTCACGTCTCATCCCTTCAAAAGTTCCTGAATCAGACTGCCTTGTAATATAAGAAATTCGCTATAATTGAAGGTTCTTTTTCGCTTTCTGGGTTAATTATTTTGTATGAGGAAAAACAAGGTCTGCTTATCTGTTGCACGTGCCATATAAGGACAACCACATATCACGTTGCTTGGATAGGCTACTGTACAAAAAGCTGGAGAGCAGTCACGTTCGTTCGCCTACTTTCGTTGAATCTAATAATGTTCACCTCAACGCTCATCATATATGCAGATGCCATCTTTGCTTTTCTATGTTTTTTTCTTCTAAATTTTAAGAACCTAAAATAATGGAGTTTTTATCTTTGTATAGCTAGCGCTTTGTACGTACGTAGAATATGGTACAAGAGTTTAATGATTAACATGAGTAAATTAAATACCGTTTTAAATGGATCCACAGTTTGTTATTTAGTGCAACGTACAATTATCAGGGAATATTAATTATACGTACGGATCCGAGTGCCTTAAATTAGTCTTTCCAACCAATGATGTCTCATTGCATACGTCACACTGGTCGGATTCGTTGATGTAAACCCATTACAAACAACTCCTAATTAATCCAACAAGAAATAAGATCATATCGTGAATGCTAGTTCTTAATTATCGGAATATTTTGCAAATGTACATCGCTTAACAAGTCCCAAAATTTATGTGCATAGACATGTTTTTTTTTCTGGTGTAAATGTTAGTGCATAAACATGTTTGTATATCAAAATAGTACAATCACGTTTTACCAACAAAAGGTTCTAATCTTGAATACAACTTATTGAATAATCGTTATTCGTTATATACACAAGACTTGTGTATGTGTTTAATTGGTCTAAATATGTGTTCTTTTTATTTTCTTTTTGTTGGTTCTTGTACCATAAAGGCATAAAGCAGTAAAAAACAATGTTGCATGCTGTAAGCAGAGAAGTTTCACATGATCACTAACGTTCACATAGTCAAATAAATAACAGGGAACACACAACACATTGCAAAACAAACGTCTTATACATGGCCCTATAAGTATTTTTGTATTTAAAGTTTAGTACTTGGAAAACACTTGGCCTACTTGTTTCATTACGTGCAAAAACGACTTGTTATTTGTAAGAGAGGACGTGTTTTTAACAGGGGGTATTTAACTATAGGGCCAAAATATGAGGGTACTCGCTACGAATGAAGAAAAAAGGTCAAGCTAATTTTGAATTTTTGAAACAGTATTTGTAAGAAAAAAAAGTTATTTGACAAAGCATTATAGACCAAGAACTTAACTATTTCTGTCGAATAAAATAATAAAATAAATAAATTAAAATTTGGAAAGAAAAACAATAGACTAGGAGGATGCCACAAGCGAGAAAAATGTTTGATTGAAGCTGTTGCAGAATAGGTGCCACTGCCAGCTTGTTAGACAGTTGGAGAAACTGGCCGGGTAAGTAGAAAACCGAAACGTGTCTTATAACTATCATTAAAGGTCCAACACAAAAGCCATTTATTGTATGATTCTGCGATTGTGATTATAATTTCCCAAGCAATATAACATGTAATATCCTTGTTAACTTACCAGGGAATGAAGGACTTTCAATTAGTTCTCCGAAGAGAAACGATCCCAAGAGCCCAGTTCCAAACACCATAATGTAAGCAACAACTACAAAATCAAGCCAGTAAAAAAATAGTCAAAAGGCCGTTGAAATTTCACTTGAGTAACATATTCTTGAATCTTGATCAAAAGTATATACCTGTGACAGTCTTAACCTTTGAGAACAAGGAAGAGGCTAAAAAGGCGACGGAGATTTGCAGATTGATGTAGATGAAATAGAAAACAGACTGGACGCTATATGCGTTGATCCGGAAGTAATTGAGTCCAATGGCCGACCCGAAGATGACTAGCGAAGCAACGTACAATATGGATATTATAAGAAAATATGCATACGAAATCATCCAATAGGGACCATCGCCTAGGCCGTGCATTTTCATTATTATTCTTAGACGCTCTTGTTTCTCGTACACCAATGATGTCAAGATCACCTGATGACAAAACAACAACGGAATATGAGTATAAACATGGTGTAAATCTATAGTGCTTGCAGTGGCTTAAATTAAGTATTCAAGAACTTACCGGGAACAGAAGAAGAACAACCCAAGTAAAGAAAAGCGGACCAAACATAGACGCTAAATCTGGGAGACCATTATTATTACTTGCTTGTCTAGGAACTTCTTTGACAAACTCGAATAATATCCTTGTCCCGGGACCTTTCAGAAACTTTAGATAAGCATTTGATACCTGCATGCAGTTTCTTAGCAGTTAAAGAAACATGTAAATTAAATAAAGAGAACATATTTTGATTTGATAGTACTAATTAATAGCGTGGCTTAATTACCAGACTGATCAAGCGAGGAACTCGGACCAAAGGTCCACTTGAATCGTATTCTGTCGCATTATACCAGATGGTCACGTCCAAGTTTTTTGTATCCGTACTCATGAGATCATATGCTAAGGCCAACGAAAATACATCAAACAGTTAGATGGATGTATACTACTAAACTAAGCATATATATATATTTATAAAAATATATTAATACACCAACCTGCAGCAATCTCATTAGTCATCCGCTCAGGATTTCCCCTCCAAATACCCTTGAAAATCTCATCATTGACCTCTGCAGAACTGTTTCTCCACAGGCACAACCCTTGAACACACTTCACCTCTGGGATGACACAAATAACCACTCAGCTATACAAATTGTCAACGTGAAGAAAAAAAACACATTTTGAACATCAAGAAGATAAAAATTGTACTTGTCTTGATTTTTCCGAACTGGAGTGGCCATGTAGCGTTTGGACGTCTACACTGAGATTGGATATTGTAAATGGGAAACTCAGGGTCAATTGCTGGATCGTCATAATTGTTTTCCCCTGCCGATACTGCTGAGCCCTGAAAACTCATGCCATGACCTTTTAGTAAAACAAAAATCTGAGACAGAGAGATAGATCTCTACACTGAAAAAAAAAGAAAAAGCAAACGTACCAAAACATTATAAGCTAAACTAGGCAAGAGGTCGGAGGTATTCACGGAGAAAGAACCACCGAAGATATTCCCGGACAAGGCTGGAGAAACATGAAGGAGATAAGTTCCTCAGCATTCAAAAATGGTAGCAATAGTTATATTAAGCATGTACCTTGACCAAGAGATTGGTTATTCCCAGTAATAAGTATAGTTACAGGACAAGTTCCTGTTTTCCTACAGGACACGTCAGGGAGGTCACTGTAGGGTAAGAAATTTGATTTGACGGCACGAGATTGTGGTTCTGGAATCTCTAGCATGGGAGGCAACAATGGAGGGTTTGGGATGGGACAACCACTACTGCTGAGAGATAAATCTTCACTTGCACATGACGTAATCGCCTTCGGGACTTTATTCGCCACAGAATTAATCATTAATTGCAGCCCTAAGAGAAGCAAGCAAAGAAAAAGTGGAACCAAGACGAGTCTAACATTCGTCCATATGCGTTTCCTCTGCACCAAAAAAAATCAATGTATTACATAGAGACTAAATCAAATTGTATAATGATCATCATATCTCATTTTTCTGGTTCATTTTTCATGATCTATCAAGCTTTTTTTTTCCACAGATTCGCACACATATATGTTCGTAGAGGAAACAGAAAAGGCATAGACATACCTGGAAAGTTAAGTTCTTTCTGAGTAACGCATTTGCCTGAGCCCAGAAACTGGCTTGACCATGATTCGCCATTGACGAAAGAAACAAGCTCTGAAAACCTCTGATAGTCCTTAATTTTTCTTTTCCTCCGTTGCGTTTTGAGGTATCTCAATACGTTTACATTCATATGCGTTGCGTTTTAGACGGATTTCTTTATTTTTTATTTTTGGTAAGTAACGGATTTCTTTATTTTATTTTGGACAAAATAGGGACTTAAATTTTCACACGGTTTTCAAGTTAACCAGAAATTTAAGGGATTTTATCAGTCTTTGCGAGAGAGAAAAAAATATTAGAGTAATTGAAAAGCCCTTAAATTTCGTAATTAATTAAATCTTAATTAATAAAATAATACTAAACTCTCGATTACCATATTTTTGTTGACAGCAGATTATACGGTCTACTACCATATTTGCGTCGAGATTTGGTTGACTAACAACAATGTGATGATGATGCATGTATCAATTCATCATACATCACCCCCATTCTTAATTTTCTAATGATACAGATTTGTTTCCAAACATATCAACAAAGAATACTTGGTAACATTCCGATTTTTACGTAGAAACGGAAAAGATAAAAAAGAAAACAAATTACAGGGTGTTTACCATTTCAGAAAACGCGTTTCTGATAATTATGGATGAATTACACAAGAAAGGAAAAAATATCATCCAGACTCCTTTGTATTTTTGTGATAAATGAGATTCCTATCAACGGTGGTTAATAAATTTTCATAGGCGTTTTATTGGCATTTAGCTAGATAGATCGGTTAGAAATTTAAAATGATCTCAAAAATAAATTATTATTATTTTAATACGATAAATCCCATAAACTAAGTATATAATTTTTTTTTTTAAAAAGGATAAAACCACTTATGGAAAGAGAAATGGCTTTTGAATATCTTAAATGAGAATCCCATTTCAATAGGGATCCTCTAAATCAAATAACATAACGTAATTTTCAAAAAGGTCAAAAAAGAAAAAAAATTGTCAAATCGGCTTATTTCTCTGATCATGACTCTGCGAGGAGGCTTTCCGCTTCTCTGCCAGCAGTTCACGGCGTTGTTCAAGAAGAATCTTCTGCTAACATGGCGGAGCAAGAGAGCCACGTTTCTTCAGCTCTTCTCTTCGTTTTTCTTGATCCTTCTCATCTTCTGTATCCAAGAAGCGATGGAGGCGAACGACGAAACCTCGGCGTCGCACACAAGTGTCACCGATCCCAAGGCATTAGCCTCGCCTCCGATTCCGCCTTGTGAGGATAAGTTTTTCGTGAGACGCCCCTGCTTCGACTTCGTGTGGAGTGGGAACCAGAGCCGTCGAGTGACTGACATTGTCTCTGCAATTATGGCCAACAATCCCGGACGACCAATTCCGAGCGAAAAGGTTTTTCTATTTGTCTAGTTTTTTTTTTCCTTAATTTTGATAATTTTTTTTTATAAGGTATTTTGGTTTTGCTATTCCGAACAAGTGTAAATTCATAATTTATTATTATAAAATAATTGGATGGGTTTTTACTCTTTATTGTGTTTTTTTTTTACGTCAGTCAAAAATGTAAAGATTGTGTTTTGTTTGT